CCATGTGACTAGCAAGGGATTCATTCCAATTTTAAGATGCTGATTTTCAGGGGAGAAAATATGCTGCTCCTTTTCCTAACATGGACATTTGGGATGTCAGGCTACAATTGTGCTGAATAGCTTGAGCAGTCGAAGGCAAACATCTAAAAGAAAAACAGGCTCTTTGTTAATCTGGAAGGACAAATAGCTGACACATTATCCCTACGCTAATTACCTTGGATAAAGATAAAGTCCTGCAATAAAAACACCACTACAGATGACAGCAATGTCTGAAATCATAGCAAAGGGAAATACGACAAACATTACATGAAGAATATGATGGCTTATTGCTTTGCGTTTTTAATTGAAAAAATAATATGCCTGTAATATCAATAACCCAAACCTGGCATTTTAAAGCATGATCTTCCCCTCCTGAGGGGCTAAGTAGGAAGGAATCTTAGATATCCATGAAGAAAATCTTTCTTTTTCAACTGTTCTATCAGAAGGGGAAGATTTCCCCCCTAAAAAAAGAAAGCACTGTAGGGCGGGCCCACAAACTCTGCAGGATTGCAAGTGATGAGTGGGAGGCCCTGTTATCTCCCATGCCTGACCTATGACCCCCAACATCTTTCCTCTTTGGAACTGTGCTGTTGGGGTGGCATCAGGGAGCCCTATTAAAAGGGTATGTCCCCTACAGAGCTGGTGGGAGAATGATGTGTGTACCTCTGTCTGCCCACTCCCCACCGCCTCCTCCTGCAATGTGTGCATCCAGGAGACCCCTGGAGTACTCTCTGCAATGTCCAGGGAAGTAGGGGAGATCATCCTCTGAAGATTGCTGAAGCCCTCTTCCATTCCGGAAGGGTGTGATGTGAGCACTGGCAGAGTGGGGGATACAATCTGGCTCTTCATTAATAATTTATAATTTCTGATCAACAGAATTATTTTACATAGGGGGAAATCATGCCCCTGCTCCCCAAATACAGACTGCCGAAGACACAGTGGAAGTAGTTCAATACCAGCATGCAAGGGCCTGCATGCAATGTGGTTTCCCTGTGCCAAGAAAGTTGTTAGGGCAGTTACAGGCAGTAGATCCTCTGCTACATAGATCCACTAGCCAATGGCCTCTCAGTGGAGGGGGTAGGGGCATACAAGCAGCAATGGCTATTGCAACTTTAGCATGGCAGTAATAGTGGCTATAAATTAGTATATACTAGTTTATACTATAATTTTCACTAGTATAAATAGTATATATTAATATAATATATACTAATATAAATAGTGGCTATAAATCCATTGCTACTCTGCACCCTAATGGAAAAAGATTCAGCCCTAGACAGTTCCCTTGCATCAACTTAGCTAGCTGAGCTTGGTGTTGGAAGGACAGGAGAAAGGAGTGTCAAATACACAAGAGAATACAGCAGCTATTAGTTTTCCAGTACAGTTTGAAAAGCACAAAGTCATTGTTTGCTAATAATGGTTAAACTAAAATTCACCTAAATGGAGATTTTAAATAAAGGGCATGTATTGTCTTGTACAGTATCACAGGTTTCTTTTAGACAGCTATTATGCCTATTCTGCAGATGCACTAGAATTCTGATCAGTAGAGATTATGTTAAGTATTAGTCAAATGTTTAAGAAAGAACTTACCAATTTTCTTTGATGATTTAAAACCTAACATTCTAAAGAAAACCAAAATATAATACCCCCACCACAATATTTTTGACCAGATAAATGAACAATAAATGAAGTTGTGTTTGACTGAATGGTCTCTCATGTAGAAAAAAATCATAGCCTGGAAATACAATATTTACCTCTGGAAACCACTAACATTTTTGTACTATAAAACAAGCAATATTTGAAACATTAGGAAAATGATTAGGACATTAAGAAAAATTGATAGATTGTTGTCTAACACAGCTTGTTTTATATGGGCCGTAAAAGATTTTGGTTCTGCTCCTGCACATTACTCCTGGGGGAAATCCGTGCAACACTGCACATGCAGAATTCATGTCCCCTGTAGATTTTTTTTATTTCTCCTCAGAATATAGATTCTGCTAGAGAGGTTCTGCAATTACACCATTTGCCCACCAGAGGCTGCCTTGGCACCAGAAGAGAGGGGAAGCCAGCCGGCAGAGAGAGAGAGGGAAGAGACTGTGTTCCTCACAGCGGGGGAAGATGAGGATCCATGGCACAGACAGAGTGGAGCACACGGGGCTGTTGGGGGGGGGGAGGGTGTCACAGACTGGAGTTCAGAAAGACTCGTGGGGGTACAGACTGTGGCACGGGCACAGGAGATAATGAGGTAACAGCATTGAGCCAGGATCTCAATGGGAAGGGGGCTGCAGGGCCACAAGGGAACGGGGGAAGGAGAGTGCAGAGATACATGGGGACAAGGGGTAGGGGTCTGCAGGGACACATGGGGACAAGGGCAGATGTGCCTCACTGAATGGGAGAAGCTAGGGGTCAGCCAGGGTCTGCATGGGAGAGGCTCCCCAACTCTCAAACAATCTTTCACCTGCCACCAAAAAAACCTGTTCCACACTTCTCCCACCCAACAACTATCCAGGTTCACTTCCAGGTTCCTTCCCTCTACCTCAGGCTCCTCCATTATCCCTGACTCCCCCAAGCCTTTTAACTGCTTCTGAGGGGTGCAGGAAATACATTTCTGTATTGTAGTTTAAATGAATTACTCAATGTTCTGTATTAATACACCCAGAAGGGAATCTATTTGTCAAAAAAGTCATTTCCTGAAACTTTTTGTTTTGTCTGTATTGTTACAGACATACTTGTTGACAGGTATTTTGAAATAAATTACCCAAATTACTGAAACTGGCATGATTATATTGTGTTCTTTTGACAAATAAAATATGCAGAATTTTAAAATATTGTGCACAGAATTTTTAATTTTTTGGCTCAGAATTTCCCCAGGAGTATGCAAGTAGAGGACCTCATTGCCTTTAATGGAGCAACATACAGGTGCAGGAGTCCATCAGAATGGGTGTGTAACTGGGTTTACAAATCCCAGACTGAGCATGGGCAGAAGGGAGAGGAGAGTCTTCTCTGCTTGCAGGCTGACCACACCCCCACACACCTGCCAGAACTGCCAATCATGAAGACACGCACCCACAGCTGTGACCAATAAAGAAAACAAGTCCAGCTATAAAAGAGGGATAACAGAGAGGGAAGGGGAGGCAGAAAGGCCTTGGATAGCAGTGGGGCAACAGACCCATTCCAGGCTGTCTCTGAGAAACTGACAGAGAGACAAAAGGAGACTGCAAGCCATGGAGTTTAAGGGCTGATAGACTCAGTTTAAGTTAAGAGGTTATAGCATGGTCTCATCTTGATGAACTGAAGGGGGACCAGTTAGGAGAAAGCTAGGACCCCTAGAGAGACTTCCCCAAGAGCAGTTGACAAGGTGTCATTGCTGGATTGGGGATCTTATTAGTAAAATCACAGCTTTGTCAGCAGAAAATAATACAAACAGTATGAGCATGCAACACAAAGAAAAGGAATGTGTTCTATACATTAATTTCTAACAATCATAATAAAAAGAAAAGGAGTACTTGTGGCACCTTAGAGACTAACCAATTTATTTGAGCATGAGCTTTCGTGAGCTACAGCTCACTTCATCAGATGTTTACCGTGGAAACTGCAGCAGACTTTATATACACACAGAGTATATAAAGTCTGCTGCAGTTTCCACGGTAAACATCTGATGAAGTGAGCTGTAGCTCACGAAAGCTCATGCTCAAATAAATTGGTTAGTCTCTAAGGTGCCACAAGTACTCCTTTTCTTTTTGCGAATACAGCCTAACACGGCTGTTCCTCTGAAACCAATCATAATAAAGTCATTTTAAAAGAGAACATTTCAATTGTATCAATACTATATTCCCTGTAGAATGCACTGCTACTAAATATACAGAAACTGCAGAAGGAATAAGAAAATGTAGTGCAGTTTTGCCAAACAGACCATCGAGTTTGTCTGTTATTCTATGTATCTGTGTATATGGTATTATGTTTTTGTTAAACAGGTGGTATTTAAGCCACACCGCATTTTGTATCACATATAAGGATCACCACAGGGAGATGTTATGATTGTATGCCATTTGTATCATAAGCACCAAAGAGATTACACTACTGATGTACTGAAGTAGGAAGGGGTTAAAGATTTGTATTAAGATTTTCTGTTTGCTTCAGCTTCCCATTCCCTCCCTGAAATATCTTGAACAAAGCAGGAATTATCCTCTTGTGCCTGTGACAGAACCTTAGCAGGTCACGTGTATTTTAATTCTCCCCCTCTAGAAGCAATCGTTATGTCTCACTCAGAGTCTGGCTTCACAAGGCTGTGAACACAGGGCTAAAACTGAAGAGGAAGAAGGAAACAAGCAAAAACAAAAGCAAAAAGAGAAGGGAATTAAAATCCAACACTTATTAGATACACCTTATACACTTTAAATCACAAGATTGGCATCATCACAAAGGACTGGTAAACAAAGTCTAGTGCCGTATCAGACTCTTAGTACCAGGAAGAGCTGTCACTGAGGCCATTAGCAAAGAGATGGCAAAAAGGAGGAGGATAAGAGAGCGCATCGAACTCTCATACCTTTTCACAAAAAACTGTTACCTGATGAATGTACTTTATCAGATCTGGGCCAGCTGAGAGGTAGCAGCAATTGAAATGAGTGTCCTAGGGCATACACAGAGACACACCAAACCCAGTCTATCCCACCAAAAAGCACTACATTTCATTTCACTGGTTTGCTGCTAAAATCAGTAAAGGCTTAAGAAGGCCCGGAAAACTGTGCAAACATCAACCGGTTCCATGTCAGATTTAGGGAAGGCACAGCATATTATGGCTCAGAAGAAAAAGAGAAGATATAAACAAGAATAGATGCATGAAGGACTAGTAAGTGTAGGACAAAAGTGTAGGAGAATTTCAACATGGCATAGCTCTGTGTTGGTATCTCTATGGAAGTAACTGCAGGCATACAGTAGGTCTTTCATCAGGAAATACTTCTCACCATTTCTCTTTCTTCCTTCATCTTTTGTCATTTTCTGCTGGACCACTACTTTCTGTGAAGAGCTTCTGCCTGAACTGGGCTTTCCTGATTCGTTGCTGATGACAGAACCATTCTGACTAGGCGACCTGCTGTAAGTAACCATAGCAACAAGGAAGACTGTAAGTTTCATCTGTATAAACCTAATTTCAAGGTTATTTCATTTGCACAGTTTGCATCATTGGCTTTTTAGTCTTTGATTTTGTACACAAAAGAGATAGGAAATAAACCACACAACAGAAACACAATGAAAGCAGAAATGCACTTACAATATTAAAAAATTACTTTTATGTAGGCTCAGTCCTGAGGAGGATTTTAGTGAAATCAGAACTGATTATTTCTCCTGCACGAACCCAAAAAGACACAGGAAAATAATGCAAAAGGTAAAAGAAGACATCATTTGTTTGGTATCCATTAAGCAGTTCAAATAAAGCAGATGGTTTTTAATGCCAATTATTTCATGAACATGGCTAAACAGATTCATTGCAAGCACTTTCCCACGATTTAGTCTGCATCTGGGTTCGCAGGTTTTGTCAGATGAGGCTGAAATTGGTTCCTTATTCCCAGTTCCTTAATCGTGGTACTAGCACTTTAATCATGGCTCCCCGTTCCTTATTCAAAGGGCAAAATTATTTAAAAATAAATCAGTGTAAGATTAGATGTTTAGAAAATTCATCATATTAAATTTTTTATCATATTCAATATTATTAATTATTTAATTCTTTATTAAAGAAATTATCAGATAAGGAGCTGGGGTTGGACTGGTTGCTGTCACATCTCCACTTCCATATAGTATACAGGGCTTGACTAAGAAGTTGGGTTTTGATTGGCTGTTTGTACCAAAGTGCACCTTGGGTCACCCGAAGTGATAAAGCCCTGTGACTGTCAGCTTGTTCTGAATGATGTGAAATAAGTCTCTCCTCTAATGAAAGCTTTTGTTCCTGCATGTTGTGCTGCCAAATGCCACCCCTCTCTCCCATCTTCCATTTTGAATACAGAGTTTGAATAAGGAGCTGGGGTTTGGCAAGCTACATGTGATAAAGTAAGTCTCAGATCACCGCAAGTGACCTGTCCCAACAACCATGAAGCTGTGATGTACCGGAGGCATGGAACTTCCTGACTTGAAACTTATTCTTTGAGAAAAATTGTGGCCCATGTCACCAGCCCTTCTCCCCTCCCCTCCCCATAGACCCCATCCCTGCCCCGACACCCTTTAGCAGAGCAAGAGGAGTGGCAAATGGGTGTTTTGGAGAGTGAAGGTATGAGTCTATGCTTGCAGATAGAAGGACTTGGCGGCAGGTGTTGTATTTGTACCATCTGTTGGTTGGTTGTTCTGCATGAGTGTTGTGTGGCTGAGCTTTGGACTCCTGAATTGGCCAGCTGAGAAAGGTCTGTTTGTCTCTCAGTGAGGGCCTTGTCAGTTGGACCCCTGCGACTTTGAATCAAACCAGTGTTTGAAGTCTGAGTGGTAATTCCCTCCCTGTGTGCTAGGGAAGAGGCTGAGCAGTGATATTAGTCAATTGCCGGGTGAACAAGAACAGCAGCAAACTGGATCAGTTTCAGTGAGACTTTGGAGAGGTAGTGAGATTCCTGTTTTAGGTACGGCTCAACACTATACCAGGTAGCAGATATGGATGGTGAAAGAACAATTGCTGTGACCTGCCTTGGATGTACCATGTTTTCCTTTCTGCAGGAAGACCAAACAGATTTCTAGAGTATGAAATGCAAGCTGGTGGAGGAGAAGATACATGGACTGGAAGCACAGGTTGTAACATTGTGCAGCATCTGAGAACCGAGAGACTTCTTGGACTACCAGATTTGGAAATCATTCTCACAGATGCCACAAGGGGACAGATCATCAATAAGGAAACTGGAGAGAGTAGAAACCAAAAAAAGTGGACAGGCAATTTGTAACCAAGAGGGGAAAGAGAGGCAAGATGCATTCAACTCAACTTCAAGTATCAAAACATTTTCAGATACTGAGTAAGTCAACTCCAGAACAGCTTGTCTCTATAGGAATGAAACAGAAAGCTATATAGGACATACCTGAGGGGGATCCTTGCAGTATGAAATAAGCAGCAACCAGGAGAGGTTTTTCAAACGTTCTAAGAATGCAAACAATCAGCACTGGTGGCTCCATATTAAGAAGAGCCAACAGAGTTCAGCAAGGGACACAAAGACAATAGGATGATGTGCTGTCTCCCTGGAATGAGGATATGATTTTTCACTGTGGTATTAGACAGAATTATGAAGTTGTTTGGCAAGTCTCCACCGATGATGATGATGATATGGCATCACATGGAACTATGCAGATTATAGAAGATTAAAGCATCTTGGATGGGAAAGGAAGAAAAGGGAAGTGCAATCTTCTCAGAGACCCTACTGCTCCAGTGAGCAGGCAAGAGAGAAGATACTGTTGGCTGCATGATGTGTGTGAGGTGGAAGGTTTTGCTTTGTTGAACATTGGGCCACATTTCAATGGACGAAGAAGCTGTACAAATGGGATGGCCTACATCTCATAGTAGGGGCTAACCTTTTTGGCTGGAGACCAGCTGAAGCAGCTACGAGGACATTAAACTACCAACTCAAGAGGAGTGTGATAAGGAGGCAAGTGTGGCATAAATCTCAAATTCAAGATGCCATCAACAAATTGAACTGATGTGGCAAAGAATGAGCAAAGAATAAATTTTTCAGCTGCTTATATACCAATGCGAGAAGTCTGGATAGCAAGTAAGAAGAATTAGAAATTTTCATCGATGAAGAAAAAATACTTACATGACTCACCTACTGAAACCTGGTGGCACAAATCACATAAGTTATGAAGTGTAGGAAATCGCTATGGGTAGCTAAAGACAAAGCCTGGCTGGCAGGGCTAAGGACAATAACGAATTTTTAAAGAAAGAAATCCTAGCAATGGCACAAAGCTATAGGCATTTTACTAGATGGAGATGGTAAATTTGTTTATGATGATGCAGAAATTGTTCAATAAATATTTCTGTTCTCTATTTGTATCACATGAGGCTGCCAAACTACTTTCGAGCCCATCAGCTAGCCCTAATAACATGCTCCCACGTGTACTCAGAGTTGGCTAAGGATGTCAGGCATCAGGGCCTGCAGCAGAGGTAGTCTCCAGGCAACCTAACAAGCACAGCTGACCTGTAGTAGTCAACCTAATTGACTGTACCACCTTTTTGGTTGGCATAGTCAGCAATGGGCAAATGTTTTAAGCAGCAGTTCAGCGGCTGCTTAAAGCATTTGACCATGGCTGCAATAGCTTCTGTACCTGCTTGATCCCAGCCTTGCACCTGCATTGGACCCAGCCTTGCCTCACTCCCCTGGAAACCTGGTTTTCACCCTCAGCTCCAATTCCTGACTTCTCCTCTGACTCTTGGCTCTGGCATCTGGCCTCTGACCCCGCTTCTGATCCTGGACTCTGACCGATTGATGCCTACCCCAACCACTAGGCACAACTGCCCACACACCAGTCACTGACAAAGGAGAGCTGTGGCCCACCACTGTTAATTTTTAATAAATTTTTGAAACTCAGGAAATTCCAGAAGATTGGAAGAGTACTGATCTTGTGCCAATACTCAAAATGTGGAAGTGGTATGACCTAGCTATCCAAAGTCCGGTTAGCCTGACATCAATCCCAGGCAAAATAATAGAAGAGCTGATATGGGATTCAGTTACTAATGAGTTAAAGACAGGAATATAATGAATTCCTGTCAAAATGGTTTTATGGAAAACAGGTCTTATCAAGCAAACTTGATTTCTTTCTTTGACATTGCAAGTTTGGTTGATAAAGATAAAGCATTCGCATCCACCGTGCAGTCTCCTGTGTTGATGGTACATATCTGCAATTGGCCAATTAGAGTCATAGCCTAGGAGTGCTCTACAGAGTTCTCACTGGCACTAAGCTCCCATATAGCAGCAGGTGCAAATAATGCTTTCTGTCATCTTTGGTTGGCTAGAAGACTCCATCCCATCCTAGTGGAAAATGACATGGTCTTATTTATATGTGCTTCGTCACCTCTTGTTTGGACCATAACAATGCGATATACCTAGGCATGAAGCCTTCAGCAATTAGGAAACTCCAACTAGTATAGAATACCGCAGGACATCTCCTCAGCCATGCAGGCTTCCACTGACATGTCGCTCCTGTCTTCCACTCCCTACCCTGGCTTCCCATAGAATTTTGAATTGAGTTCAAGGTTTCGGTCCCTACCTGGAAGGAGCTCAGTGGCCTGGGCCCAGGATAGCTAAAAGATTTTCTAAGCTCCAGAATGAAGACTGGGTGTAGTTAACAACTCTGCTCCCCAGGCACAATGGCATTATCTACAATAAGGGTAAAGCTTGTCTGTGCAGCAGAAAGAACTTTCTTTGGGGCCAGTCCCTGTCCGTAGAATGAATTCCTCCATCACAAACCTCACCACCTTGTGCTCCAAGGCTCTTTTCTTTCACCTTGCCTTCTAACACATAGCACAGGGCTGGGCAAACTTTTTGGCCCCGGGCCACATATAGGAATAGAAATTGTATGGCGGGCCATGAATGCTCACAAAATTGGGGTTGGGGTCCTGGAGGGGGTGAGGGCTCTGGTTGGGGGTGCAGGCTCTGTGGTGGGGAATGAAATTAGGAATTCAGGGTGTAGGAATTTCAACATGGCATATCTCTGTGTTGGTATCTCTATGGAAGTAACTGCAGGCATACAGTAGGTCTTTCATCAGGAAATACCTCTCACCATTTCTCTTTCTGCTAGACCACTACTTTCCGTGAAGAGCTTCTGCCTGGACTGGGCTTTCCTGATTCGTTGCTGATGAATTCCAGGAATTCCAGGCTGGGGAGTGGGGTGTGGCCGGGCTGAGGGCTCTGGCTGGGGGTGCAGACTTTGGGGTGGGGCTGGGGATGAGGAATTTGGGGTGTAGGATGGTGCTCTGGGCTGGGACCGAGGGGTTCAGAGGGCGGATCAAGGCTGGGATCAGGGGGAGGGGATTGGGGTGTGGGAAGGGGTGCAGGCTCCAGCTGGGGGTATGGGCTTTGGGGTGGGGCTGGGGTACAGGAGGGTGCTCCGGGCTGGGATTGAGGGGTTCGGAGGGAGGGAGGAGGATGAGGGCTGGGGCAGGGGGTTGGCTCAGGGGTGCAGGCTCCGGGCGGCGCTTACCTCAAGCGGCTCACGGAAGCAGTGGCATATCCCTTCTCCAGCTCCTACGTGGAGGTGCAGCCAAGCGGCTCTGCATGCTGCCCCATCCTCAGGCACACCCCCCTGCAGCTCCCATTGGAGCGCTGGACGGGGCCATTGGAGCACCTAGGAGCCGGAGGAGGCCATGCTACTGCTTCCGGGAACTGTGTGGAGCGGCCCCCGACCCTGCTCCCTGGCTGGAGCGCTGGAAGCCCCTGACCCCACTCCCCAGCGTGAGCTTGAGGGCCAGCTTAAAACAGCTGGCGGGCTGGATCCGGCCCACAGGCCATAGTTTGCCTACCCCTGACATAGCAACTTGTGGTTTTTATTATTTAAATATAAATGTTAAACCCTGCAAAAACAAGACACTCAACTGCATATGCTTCTATCCCTGGGGAGAGGATGAGAGAACAAACGACATATGACATGTATAGTCATGCTGTTTAATGCACTTCTGGAAAGCGCTCAGATACTGTGGTGATGAGCATGATAAAAGAACCACTATAGAATAGATATAATATACTTAGACTGAGTACCACATGACATTTAAAAATACATCAATGCAAGGTTAGTTTTAGAAATGTCATCACATTAATGACTGAGTATGATAAAAAATTAAATTACTAATTTATCTATTAAATAATCAAATGGGGATGAATACTGATTTTTGATGATTTTTACATGCATATTGTATGTTTACTTAAAAAAACACAAAATAAGAGTTGGCTAATATATTTGTAAGACCAGAAATAAATGGCATATCCTCATCTCTTCATAAATTATCAGTCACAGGCATATGTCACTTGGGATGACCCAATATATATTTTGTCACAAACAGCCAATCACAGCCCAACTCTTCATTCAGCCTCCATGTACAACATGGAAGTGGGGTGGGGGCGAGATGTTGCAGCATATTGGGCAAGAACAAAGCTTTGGGCTATTTCAGCTCCTTCAGAACAGTAGGCCAGTCACAGGTATGTGTCACTGGGGGTAACTTATTTTGTCATGTACAGCAGTCAAAACCCAGCTCCTTATTTGAATATTTAATTAAAGAACTAAGTAATTAGTAATTTGTTAACACATTCAATCACATTAATCTGATAAAGTTCAATCTTACATTAATGCATTTTTAAATAATTCTGGCCTTTGAATAAGGAACCGGGAATAAGGAACCCACTTCAGCCTTGCTTTTGACAGCCATAATTCACAAACACAAACAGACTCCTTTTCTCCCTCTGAACACCACCCTATCAAGCCAGTGCCACTTTTTCCTGACACTCCCAATGAAACATCATTTACATGACCATCTTCTTTGTCACTGTACGGATTGCTTAATGCCCTGAAGCTGCTACTGCAGCAACCATGGACATGGGTGCAAGGGTGCTGGAACAATTTGTACAGGGAGGTGCTGAGAGCCACTGAACCAAACTATAAACCCTGCATATGAAGGAGACCACTTCAAGCCAGGGGGTGCTGCTGCACCCCCAGTACCCCTAATTTCAGCACCTATGCTGGGGTGGGGTCAGAAGTGTTGAGAAGGGGTATTCTCAGACAGCATTCTCCCTACAGAGGGCACAAGAATGCAGAAGAAATCTGGGGCATTCTTACAATTTGGGTATCTGCCCTCACACACAATTCATAAATTGTGCAATTATGAACTCTCTGTATCTCTACGAAGCTGCAAACTTCATTTTGAAGGTGGGGGCTTGTTGCCTTCCCTATAGTCTCTGCCCCCAGGCTGGACCATGATTTCGAAGTGTAGTGATACAGCACTGACAATGGCTGATTGTTCAAGACCCACAGAGGCCTTACCTGTGGAGAACAAAAGTGTAACTGCATCCTAAGGAAAAACTGTTCTTTTCAGCTTCCCTCAACAGCGAGCTGGTGGATTTAGAGAGTGGAAATTCCCCAAGAAGCACATAGCATGTCTACACTACAGACCTCACTGCGACACAGCTGGGCTGCTGTAAGGTCTCCTGTGTAGCCGCAATATGCCAGCGGAAGAGAGCTCTCCTGCTGGCATAATTAAACCACCCCCCACGAGCGGCGCTAGGTATGTTGGCAGGAGAGTGTCTCCCACTGACATAGTGCTGTGCACACCGGCACTTCTGCCAGTGAAACTTTTGTCGGTCAGAGGGGTGTTTTTTTCACACCCCTGAACAACAAAAGTTTTACCGACAAAACTGCTAGTGTAGACATAGCCTAAGTAGGAGCTTTTAAAGAGGACTCATAGGGGGAAGACAGGAAGGAAACACACAGGAAGTTAGGACAGGAGAAGGTCTGAAGGAACCTTGCTGTCAGTGGGAAGGGGGTAGGATCCAGAGAAACAAATAAAGGGCAGCTGTCCTTGCAGGATCACTGCCACCACAGAGCTTCTAAGTGTTCCCCTTTTAAAAAAGAAACTCATGTTTATTAAGCTGAAATTTCAAAGTTTCTTTCAAAGTTCAATTATGACAAAAAAGTGTCTGCTCTGATCAGATAACAGCCACTTCATGAAAATCTGATACAAGATGACCTTTCCAGGTTGTGAATTGGCCTGGAATGAAATTGCAAGTATCTCAGATGGTCATGTAATATTTTTCATTTTCACAAGTCAATAGGCAAGGGACACCATCATAGGACCTAACCACATCAGCCACACCATCAGGGACTCATTCACCTGCACATCTACCAATGTGATACTTTCCATTTGCCCAGAAAGGCATCACAACAGTACCGTACTATATGTTCAACCCACCTGACAGTGGGAACCGTCTTCCAGTGAATTCCTGAATCAGTAAAAGCTTACTGATCAGAATTGGTTTAGGAACGCAGAGATTTATTACAAAAGGATTTTGGAGAGACAGGGTGGGTGAGTGAATACCTTCGATTGGACCAACATCTGTTGCTGATAGAGACAAGCTTTGAGCTTACACAGAGCTCTGCTTCAAGAGGATTTTGCATATACCCAAAGCAATTAATGGATTTTTTTCTATTAATGGGGAGAGTTAAACTCTGTGTGTGTGTTTACACAAGGGTGAGAGTCAGGAATCAAAGAGGCTTGAAAAACATCTTTAAAGAACAGCTCCTGATGAGACTTATCTTTTAGGAGCATAGCACCAGCACCTACAGCTGTTACAGTGATAATTTCCTGTGTGGCATTGTGTCAGAGAATTGGAGACTTTAAAAAGGACAAGTACCACTGAGTTCATCTGAACTGGATAACTTGACTCCTGTGCTCTTCAACAAACATAATGATCTGTACATAGCGTACCTAATACATCACTGACTTTAAAAGCCGGAAGGATTTTAGATGAGAAGAGCAAACTAATCTTAGGAACCAAGAAGGGCTTTTTAAACTAGTTTTTTCTGTTTCCTATGTATACTATCTCTGAGTAGCCTCCTCCTAGATAATCTATTATATAGGAGACAATTACCAAAGCGAACATGTTAACATACCTTTTTCTCTGTATGTAAAAGACAGAAACTTCTAAGTTTTCTAAGTCATGCTAAGTTTTCTAGGTATTTCTGACAAAGCAAATCTGGTAGAGTGCATTGGCAAGTATAAAATAAGATGAATAAACTGAGATTTTCTTTCCTACAAAGCTTCTCTGCACAGACCAAATAACCTCCCTTTAAGCAAACAGTCTAAAAAGCAAGGATTTTATAACTTCAGTGAAACTGACATTAACTCTAGCCTTCATTCTCACCGCTAAAACAACAGATCTATATTTACTCTATTCCCTTCAGTAGAAAATTTCAACATCAAAAATTCTCATGTTCTTCACTTGTAAAATGAATTTAAGTGACCCCACTCATTCACTGTGAAGGAATACGAGAAATATCTAATTTTACATAGTTTTTCAAGCACCCCAATCCATTGGATTGGAGCACTGGATACGCATTGTGTTGCTGTTGCATGTGCTCTGGACTCTGACACTTAATATTATTTACGCGTTGTTTGGGGCTCTGTTCAGCCTTTAATAAAGATATGGGAGCAGATCCTTAGGTGGTATAAATTGTCAGTGTAGCTATGCCAATTTACATGAACCGAGCATCTGTCCTATTGTCCATTTGCAAAATTCAGATCCAGGTTCAGATTGAGCCTTTCCAAACTTCAGATCCAGGGTTTTGGTTCTGACCCATCACTAGCTAATATGTTGTAACATTTTCCACTCATCTCTTTAGCTAGTTACACATATGAAAATGTCTGCTAAAGCCTCACTTCATATTATCCTACTTTCTTTAGCAATCTCACACATATGGTGAAAAACATCATCATATGCCAGGCACTTTTCCTGAGGAACCAGATGCTGCGGGCACTGCATGGGTGCCAACCTCACTGTTGTTTCATTAACAGCCAGCAGCATCCAGCCCATTCCTGCCTTCAGCTGAAGTTTGTTCAGTGCATACCTTTTTCTTGTTTCATTGGACTTGGCAGTTTTAGTGGTGCTCCCATCCTGAGCAATTTCTCTCTCCTGGGAGGCAGGAGCATCTCTAGCTGGCAGTGGTAGTACTACAGTCTCCTGAGTCACAGGTAAAACCTCATCTTCAGCTCCCTGCTGACCTAAATGCTGTTTGGCATAGTCAAAACCTTGTACTGGCTGCAGAGAAGGAAAAAACAAAACTGTGGGATTCCAACATGCATTATATGTTCAGACAATATCTTTTGCTGTTACCTATTAGCATGCTGCATCACTGCCAATTATCTATATTATGGTTATGGTTGCAACTTTTAACTGTAGCACATACCCTTAATTATATGCGCTACAGTTAAAAGTTGCAACCATAACCGTAATTTAGATAATTGGCAGTGAAGCAGCATGCTAATCAGACTTTTATTCAATGTGTTTTAAACCATTAATGGATATTAAATTGTCCTTGTTTTGAGTAAGATAATTGAGAAGTCAGAACTGAATGTAAAAAAAGAAAGAGGAAAAGAGGGACAAAGATAACAGAGGTTTCATATCCATTATAGATTGAATTAAGTTACCAAAATAAAGATGTCATTTTTTCTTGGATACATGTGGTTGACACAATGCTATAAACATATATGAAAGCACATTGAATGAGGAGATGATGGTGGTGCTTTTTTTGTTCCCAGAGCAATTCAATTTTACCCTCACTGTACCCCTAAAACATGCCCAGTAACATTCCAGTAAATAACACGTCAAAATTATAAGCCTAGTGCTTGAAAAGGCTCCTTCAGGCTCTTCTGACATTACTGAACATTTGAGTTACTCTGGAAAAATAGCCATCCAGATTTGAACTTTACAGTTGGGCCAAAATAGTGAGTTATCCACAGTATCTTCTGCTTTGTATAAACATTTGTTCCACTTCTGTCCCTTCATGACAATAGTCAGAGACATATTTTGTGGGTATCTGAGTCTGAAAATTTTGCCATCTCTAAGAAAAGATCACTTTCATTCTGTTGAAAGTGGCTTGTCACATTTTCAGTCTCCTACTTAACACTAATGCTGATTTTTAAAGATGCATTGACAGTGATATTCATCTGATAAGCAGCTCCAGCAGAAGTGCACTAAGCAGATACTAAATGGACTAGCATTGATTTGGACCAACAAAGCCTTAGCACATTATAGCAGTGAAGCTTACACCATATCAGAAATGCTGGCCCCATTAACAACCATTACTCGCAAAGGACAATGCTATCTGCCCCGTTGGGAGCTTTATATCTTCCCAATACTCTGAAGGGAAAGTACCAAAAAAGATGCCATTAGATCAACTTCAAGGGGAGAGGGAATAAAAAAAGGGCAAGAAAGTCATATGAAGGACAGCTAGGGAGAAATACCATAAGCCATCCTAGACGCTAATAAAATGAGTAAAATTAATGGTTTAAAGTATTCATTATATATGTTAATTGTGAGCAGAGAGCATCCTAGTTATTTCTGTAAAAGGGGTATTAAAACAGAAAACCTGTTACCAGACTGGTTAACAGACATTACCATCCCCCCTCTAAAAATGGATCAATATGTTACAAAGTATACTTCAGTCTTAAAAAAAAAAAAAAAAAGACAAGAATCAGCAAACAAATATTTTGACATAACTCAAGAGTGGTGTAACCATGATCTGATTCCAACAATGCTATATCTAATCATTTTCAGTTTTTACTTACCCCTCTCCCCCAATGACAAAACTTTGTTAAAGGAGGAGCTGGAGAAAACATTCTCATTAGCTGACCTACTGTACTAAACAACAACATTTGATCTTGGAACTCTGCTCTGTAAAAGCCCGCATGAGCAGGGGGCTTTAGCATCCCAAACTAAATTGGCAAGACTAAGATCTGTTATCATGATTTACTCTGCACTGCAAGGAAAAAGATATCATCTGGCAAGATTTCTGAGAAAGATTTAATGAGTGGGATTTGAGTAAGGCTGTTGAAATGATATTTGAACACAACTGCTCAAGTAATTTCTTACATTGGCTGGATGAGACTAGAACAGATGGTATGGGTTGCTGCTGACATTTGTTTCTTTGGAATTAGAGCTGTCTGGAAAATGGAAATCTCTTCCTGTGAAAAATTTTCACATTTTTGAATATTTTTATACTGAATCAGTACAAAAATAATTTAAAATTTGAAAATTTTTCCACAGGAAAGAATTTTCAGAAAGATTCCATTTGGGGAGAACTGAAACCAAATTTTTCAGCTTGCCCACTACCCACCTGAAGGCTCTTGTAAATTTCACTTTCTCCTGCTGGAGGCTGAGTGTCTAGACTCTATGCCTTCCCCCTAGCCCAGCTGCAGCTCCCCAGATGCATGTACATAAGTCATCATTTCAATTTTCCCAGTGAAAAAAAATCAGTGTTTATAGCACAACTGAAGTCTTCTCATAGAAAAATTTGATTTTGTAAAAAGGACACTTTTGGTCAGAAAATCATTGTTGGAAGATTCCTGGCCAGCTCTATTTGGAATGGTGATGTAAAAGCTGATAAATACCAGAATGACCATGTATACTCTGCGTCAGGCGATTTTTTTCCCCCCTTGTATGCTCTCTACAAATGAACGGTGGCTCTCTCTCAGGGCCTGCAGTATTTATTTTTGCTTGAGGGACTTAGACTGTGGATGTTATCTATATTTATCTAAGAGCTTATTCGTCCTTTAAAAAAATAAAGAGGGGGAAAAAAAGGTGACAGACTATACAATAAGATTATGGCTTTCAAAGGCATGCTATGAATTAGAACTGAAGAGACGCAGAAAAAGAAGTTAATATCTGCCCAAAAAATCCCCCATATACAAACGTAGCATTTAAAGACTATTAAAAAAATTCCCATCCATTCATTTACTCACTGCTCCAAAAGTTTCACATTCCTCAGTTTATACTCTTTATTTTGGAACTAATACTTTATCTGAAACAAATGGTAATGGTGCCTTTTCCCTGAAGCTCAGCACACACATTGCCAGCTATTAAATCAATCTAGACTGGCAACAGGATTTAACACAACTCCAAAGAAGGCTGCTATAAACTACACTGTTTATGAGCAGCTAATCTTTTCTAACTTCATTTATTTATTCATCCTTCAATAAGTTACAATAAGGGTGGTTCCTATATTACCATGCTGAAGCAGGAATCCTGCTTTTACAGCAAATACCGGTGTAACAGGCTGTCTGTCTGACAAATGTCTCCTCATGGCGGGGGGGGTGGGGGAAGACAACACTCTGCAGGCAAACTGCCACACTTTCCCTCTCATTGGATTCCTCAATAGCTCACACAGTCATGTTATTTTAAAGCATTCCCCTTACAAAGGGGATCCAGTTTATTCAGTCCATACACACATGAATATTCCATGCCAGCTGGCCATTGGTTCCACAGTTCAAACAAACTGTTTTCTCCCCTTGCTTCCTGGAGCTCGGTTATAATCCCAATGGTCTTGCTCTCTGGGAACCAAGAGTCCTCAGGCCTCCTTCCCACAGCTGGGTTCAGTTCAGTCTCCCTCACTCCCTGCAAGAACCAGTCTTGCTTCCATCAGCTGCTTCCTCAAACCAGCTACAGCTTCCCAGACTTCTGTCCTACCAGGGCCTCTCAGCACCCTAACCTGAGCGTTACCAGCTCTCACTTGAGCTCCCTCAGCCCTCTCCTTTATATAAGGCCTGACTAAAGATCATGTGACCAGTGAGTCAGATGACTCATTCTTGCCTCCTGAAGAGGTGAATTTAGCTTGTCATAGGTGGACAGATTACTATCTCCCCTTAAAGTGCCAACCACCCAGTGACACCTAGCCTATAGAATGATATTTAAATGCTAAAGGTTTTATTACCCTTCCACCCTTTGTTCACTAATTTAATTCCATTCACACAGGAAGGATTCTGTGAAATGATGTAATAGGCAGCTCTATCTGAAGAACTGCAGTGCCCCCGTTAACAGTAGGAATAGGACTGCAGCAATGAATAGGCAGCTCCACTCTGCTAGTTTTCTTTGACATAAGGCTTCTGAAATCAGATCACATAAAACTGCACCACTAAAAAACAAAATAAGATACGAAGGAGGGTTCTCCTCACAGAATTTTAATTTCTTTTATTTTAACGCAGAACAGCCAAAAAGTACCAGAAACCCTGACTCTGATAAACAGATTTCAAACACAAAATATACAGAAGTGAGTTTTAAAAACTGCTTCTTAAACTGGAAATATCTACTGCAACTCCATTTTTTGAACAGATTTTGGCCTGGAAGATTTGCAATAATCAAGTGGTTTCAAGCACTTTTGTAATGAAATTGTACATGTTTACTTTAAAATATTCTATACATGTTACCATCAATCATTTATGATTCTGTAGTAATTATAGCACTGGTACTTATTGTTATGCCTAATAGACTCAAACTCTAAGTAGGTTAAGATGAAAATATATTGTTCTTCTTGAGATATTCTTATTTCATTATCTTCCAAAAAATATATTTCTCAGACCATTTTAAGCAGAAACATCAACATCAGAGATGGGAAAGACCTATTTAACCATCCAGTCCATCTCCCTGCCAGTGCAGAATTGTTACCTCTATCATCTGTTCAATCTACACCTTCCAACTGGAGCTGATGGAAATGTTTCTGACAAAAGAGTTTTCCATCAGAAAATTTTTTCAAGAACGTGTCATTTAGATAAAATATCCTTTGGAAAAAAATCAAAATGAAGCACTTTGATAAGGTTGAAACATTCTATTTTGACCTTATCAAAACGCTCAGAAAGCAAGCAGGGTTTTTATGATTTCAGTCCCCTACCTGCGAAAAGAGGGAAGCCAACAGGGAGAGTGAAGGGATAGTGATGTGCACACATGCTCATTAGCCTAAAAACACCTCACCCAGTCCTGGCTTTGGTGGGTTGCCTAGCCTAGAAGCTGAGATTTTAGTAATGTTGGGTAGGTTGGCAGCTTTTTTCACTATGGGAAGATATAGTGCTTTAAAACAGAATATGTGATTTTCTAGAGGGAGATTCAAATGGGGGACTTATCTGTCAGTGCCCCTATAATTTACATGGCTCATTAAGTAAAAGGGAAGTATAATTTCCTTAATTCACTGTAATCTATATTTGCAAGTAAAAGAAAAGACTGGTGGTGAGGGAAATGGTTGGCATTTCTGCATTACTAATTGGCTGGAACAGTTCTAATTTAGTACTAGATTCTCAGCTTCTGTCAAAGCAAAGAACTTTAACTATTGAACTCTGATTAGTGCTAAAGGGAACTGCTTAGCAGAAATTCTGTGCATAGAATTGAGAACATCTCTGTCACAGGGCAGGGCTTCTCCCCAACTTCTAAACTCACTGCCAGGCCCAGTCTCTTTTAAGAAGGTTTATTCTCTTAACAGAGGCAGGTAAACAAAGTGAAAACACTTTATGTCACTCCTTTCTCTGCACAGGAAATAGACACCCATGTCTGGCCCATGCCAGCCAACCCGGGCTTGTGGGACTTGGTCTGTGTCATTGTTACACAGACTTCCCAGCTCAGGTTAGGGCCTGGGCTCTAGAACCCTACAACATGGGAGGGTTCCAGGGCTCTGCACAGGAGTTCACTCTGCTCCACTCCACTCCACCATGGCTTGGCTTGGCTTCCCTAGGCATAGCCTCTCCCAATCACTCTATCTTCCATCTCCCATTTTCTGCCCTATGGCAGTCCAAGGGTAGCCCAGCCCCCTTTATTGGCTAGATTGGGCTCACCTCTTCTTCCACAGGTAGGTGGGCTCAGTTCTACTGGCAGGAACCAGCTACACTGTGACAACCTACCTTAGAAACAGATCAAGATTTGATTTTCCATTTTTATCTTTTGCTCCCCAATTGACAGAAGAGACAAATGCCATGGGTGAAGCATGCTTAGTCCTGTGGGAGGGAATAACCATCTTCTGTATGATTAGACAGAAGTTGTTATGGGGTCCAAGGAGAGTCCTATGGACTCCAGCCCTTCTAGGGTGGAAGGGTGATTGCTTTGGCAGAAGGTCTCAAGTGGGGGGCATAAGCACAAAGCCAGGAGAAACTGAGGCATAGATCTTTCATTTCACTCCAGGAAAAAGCAAACAGGTTCTGTAACAGCTGAGAAAGTCCTAGCCTGAGTGTACTGACCAGTTAAACTCTCAAATGTCCTTTAAATATGTTTAGGAAGGGATTTGAAGAATGAACACTCTGGAAAAATTAACGAATGTGCTGAGACTAGACATCTCCTGATTGAACAGACACTTACTTTAGCTCTCTGAGGCAGGTTCATCATGGGGTCTGGTTTGAAATCATTCTTGTTCTTCCTGCACAGAACTGCTGTGATGATGATGATGATAACCGTAACCACAGCAATGGGAGCCAGTACTGCTGCAATGATCCACAGGTTGTTTGGTGGGTTTTTCACCACAGCTGCAAAAAATCGCAAGCGAGAGAGAGTCAGTGCTCCACCATCAGTTGCTATGTAAAAGCAACAGAAGAACTAGCTGGGCACTTCCTTAAATGGTCTTCACATAACAATTAGTACAAAAGATTTACTTATTCATTTATTTCAAGTTGGATGAGATCTCACTCAAATGGCTCTTTCACAATATAAGTAAAATAACGTTGAATGAAACAAGCCATCGGTGTTTTCCTAAAATAAAACGCCAGCAGAGCTTGGACTGAGATAGTTTCTGTGTGAAAAATGTGCACACTGTACCCAGTCCTGCTCCTACAGAAGACATTGGTGCAGACTCACAGCTGCTATAAATTTGCATAGCTCCTTTGAAGCCAATGAACTTAAGACAACTCACACCAGCTAAGGATCTGGTTCATTGAGCATTTTGCCATCAACATCAGCAGAATGGTCCTTTTGTAGGGCTGCTGTTGTGCTATAGCTTTTTTGGTGGTCACGGGATGGGTGTCGCAAAGAGGACAAAATGTGGCACTTGGGGTGGGGGTAAATATAGGGGCTGGGAAAAATCATTTTCAGAAATATTGATAATTGCACTGGAATACGAATTATTTCCATGTATTACCATAGTGCCTAGGACAAACCCCACTATGCTTGATGCTGTACATCACAGCACTAATGCATATCTCACCTTGTATTACTTGTTAGAACATCTTTACCTAGAGGGCACGCTAAGATTTTAGATTCCATTTTATTTGAGTAAATTGCCCCTTACATCTCTCAGCATATACATCTAATTAGTGTATATATTAAATATCCTGCTGTGAAATAAATGCAGAGTTTTCTCATTTCATTTCTTTTTGCAAATGCTTATGCTAATCACCACATTTTGTTTCTTAATTTTGTTTGACTATTAAATGATTAGGCTTAACCTGTATTCTGTATTTATTTTCCTATCTTACTGGCTCCTAACATGGAAAAGGCGATTATGAAAATACTAGTGTGACATTTCTAACAGTCTTACTCCACTTTCTATTTGACTTAACAGACTATACCAAAGACCAGATTCTGAGAAGTGACGCATGCCCTCAACTGCCACTGACTCCACTAGCTGTCAAAGGCACTTTGCACCTGGTAGCACAAAGCCCTAAATGTATAGCATCTGGCTACCAGTAATTACCATAGTACAACTAGCTAAAAGCCTGTCCGGGGCTTGATCCTGTCATCCTTGGACACTCAGACCTCCTTGGAAATCAGTTGTAATTTTGATGTGCTGGAATAACACAATCGGGTGTTCAGTGGCATATTTTTGCACAGAATCTAAACTGGAATAATATGTTTCACTAGATCTCAAAAGAGGCAGTGTAGACTCTGAATTTTAATCAACAGTGTCCCTCTTAATAAGCAATGTTCACCACTTAATGACCTTAGGTCATTAAATTAATATCTTACTATGGGCTATTTTTTGGTTTGGGGTGTTTTAAACAAAGGCTTCAGTCCAAATTTTACCTAACATCCACTTTAATAACCAACTACCCCTGTAAGCAGCAAGCAATTGTAGAAGAGGTTTATATTATGAGCACTGGAAAATGTGCTGTTCTTCCAGAAGAGTGTAGCGAGAAAGGGATGATCTTGTGCTTCATACAAAGGACTGAGACTCAAGAGATCTGGGTAAGTCACTTGCGACCTGATTCAATGCCCAATCAACAGGAGTCTTTCCACTGACTTCAATGGGCTTTGGCTCAGGTCCCTAATCTCTCTGTCTCAGTCCCTTGGTCTGTCTTGTCTACTCAGATTGTAAACTCTTTAGGGCAGGGATTCTCTTTCGCCATGTATCAGTGCAGCATCTATCACACTGGGACTCATCCAGGCACTACTGTAAAACAAATAAAAATGCATCAGAACGAAAAATGTGTAAAATATCTTTCTTGTAATTACAAGGAAATACTTGTACTATGTCCAAAATGAGGCAATGGGAATATTTTATTTTACTAGCAAGGTACTGTGATGCTTTGTCTCCTCCATTCAAATAATCAAATCTGAGAGTCTTAGCTATCCAAGTTCATAATTTCATTTAATGATGCTCTGTAAACTCTTGACTTCACCTTGTACGGAACCAGAATACGTACACCTACAGATGAGCAAGGCCTCCTTATAACACCATGCAAGTACAAGGTCAGGTCAGCTCAAATCTTGCAAATGCAATATAGTCACTCAAACATCCATTTCAAGAGCATAAAAGCATGTACAGAGGATAAGAGGACAGTATGTTTTTCTAATTTACATCCATTTTAGCAGGAAAGGCACTTTGAAGCATTTTTATGAGAAACAATGTAATTTAGAATTTGAGGGAACGTAATTTATGCAAACAGGGGTCAAAAATCTCTGTTGTCTGAAGAACAACAAAGACTGAAAATCAATAATACAGTGTGATCAAATCTAGGACCAAACACAGAATGTACTGTACTCACTGGAATTGATATTGCACCTTTTGAGCCATTTTTCTGACTTCATCTCATGCTTATAGCCAATAGTTTAATCATTTGTCAAAACCATTTCTCCTTTTTCTATCAATGTTCTTTGTAGCTTCTCTAATGTCAGTCCTTCATCCAAACAGATGGAATTACTACACTTTCATACACAGGAAGTGCCACCTGACTGAAGATTTTACTAAAACAAGTTCATTTGAAATTATAGAGTGTGGTTAATGAGCATGTCCCGTAATGAATGTTGCATTTTGAATATTCGTTCTGAGAAATGACAATAAATGTGATTAAAACTGGGGATTGAAAACTTAAGAAAAGAATTCTTACGATCAGCTTGTACTTGGATGACATAACCTAACGTCAAGGCCATCCTTTGAGAATCAACAGTACTCAACATTTTGGCAGCTGCAGTTCCCAGCAGAGGTTTCCCGTTGTATAATGTATAATAAGTCAGTTCAGCAGGCTCCTTGGGTCCTGGAATACGCTGCATTTTTACCATCTTATTATAAAAGGAGAGAGAAAGAGACAGACGCTATGTTTATATTGTACCATCACTTAGATCCTGATCCTGCACAGAGCCACCTCCAGGCAGACCTCTGCATCTGTCAAGAACTCCACTGAAGTTAATGGGATGCCACACAAGTAAAAGCTCAATGCAAAACTTCTCACAGAATTTCAGGGCCTTACATTGTTTCATAGTATTGCTTTGTTTACCCAGCATACAGCAGTCCTTCCTGACACCCTTTATAAGGATCTTTTAAAAATATTTATAATTTGAAATCCCTAGATGAGAAAACAGAGGCAATGAAAAAATATAAGTAAAATAGCAAACAAAATGTCAACTCTTTTTGGGGTCTCTACAGTGTAGCCCTGGTGTCAGCTTGCTTCTGCGCCATGAAAAAGCAATTAAACTGAGAGAAATTTAAATGTGCTTTTATTTAAAATTACACTTCGCTGGTATTCTGTGGGTAACAAATCCTTGCACCCACTACCCACAAGCAAACAAAAAGACTCTTTTGGTTTTGTTCTGTCATATTGGTAGAGGTTTGAAAGTGCACCTCTTTATTTTTCCTGTGGTAAGTGGAGTTGTACTAATTATTTATAATCACATGAAAAAGAAAAGGATTTTTCTTTTTTGCATTTTGTTATGGACTCAATGTTTTCATGTAACATTTTTCTAAGATTCATGATTATATCAAATAAAAATGCCCTCCCTTTTAATTGTTTCATATTGAGAACACAGATAATTGTGGGGAAGATGTTTGCAATGCAAATACTAGAAAATAGTCCTTTTTTAAAATATTTCACAGTAAATGAAGTTTGGAGAAAGGTGCAGAGAACTGACAACTTAGCTTGTGAAATTTTGCAGGCAGAAAATTTTGAATTACATGAAAGTAGGGCAGCCGGCTAACTCTGGTGTAGAAACAAAATAAGCTCTGGTGGAAAACACTGACTGGGAATTGAAAGCTCACCGAAGAAAAGACAAAGGTCATTTCACAATGCAGTATTCTGTCTGAATCAATCGTAAAATGTTCAGGTTTCAGACCCTCATTTCAGAATGTGATCTGTGTCCCTGCACAGAACAAGGCCATATTAAAAAATAAATAAAATTTAATTTTAAAAAAATCCCTGATTGCTTTGCACAGGATCTCATCACAATGCAGAAATCAGATACAACTTTTACTTATTGTGTCAGCCATATGAAAGAAGACCTATAGAAATTCTCTTCACTCTTGAGAATATAGCAAAGCTCTTACTGAAGTTAATTTCACTACTAGATTCTTTCTACTAAATTTTGCATGCTACATAAACATATATAGTAAGCAGAGAGCAAAATATTTCCTACTGCAGAGCAACCACTGTCTATTTCCAAAGAGAAAAGAAACATGAAAACGTGCCTGACTTTGGAAACAGAAACTCCTTTGAGTGACCTGCACAACTCTCACGCTGGTTTGGTATTCATGAATAAGAATGTCCAAACTCATTCCAATTAACTATTTTGCACAGCAATCCATGCAGTATCTATGCACCCAAAGCCTTTTAGAAATAGTATCTGGATACAACTTGTATCCTATTGATCACCTGCACAGTGTAGCTGCCCACTGTAGTAGCACGTTTAAATCGCCTTCCTTGTTGATGGGACATCACGAACAGTGGGGCCAGCCGCTGCTCCATTAGTCTTGCAAAGCTTTGGTTGTTAAGTCCCAGTAACGTAATGTCGACCCCTTGTATAACTGTGGCAATGGAGAAAATCTCATATCAGCATGGATGGATTAAATAATACATGGCTGCAACTGTATGTGATAAAGATGTACAAGCTAGTTTAGAAGATAAACAACTAGATAACAAATTTACACACTCTAAATAATTTCCATTGTGGGTATAACATGACTTTCTGTTTCCAGCCACTATACAGTTTTTCTCAGATAATTTATCAGCTACATTTCTACACACAGAGAATAAAATCCTCCAACAGTTGTTCTCAGCTTTTCGGTTTACCAATAGGTCTTTGAGTATCTCTACATCTACACCAAGCTTCAGTGCAAAATAAAAGCAAACCCTTAAATGAAAAACATAAGAACAGACAAGCCTCAAGAAGGTTATCAAAGGACAATTATATGCATTTGTCAGGTAAGGGGACAGTTTTTCATCCAAGGGTCTGTAAATCTGAAATTGAAATTCTACAGGATTCAGTTTGACAAAACATTCTGTGTTCTAGGGCATTGAATGATTTGTGAATACACATTTGATTTAATAAAGTCCAATAAATTGTAAAGCATATACAGTATACTTTACACAATTCATACATGTTCACTGTATTTTTGAAGTCATTTCAAAACTTTAAAGGGCTTACCCTTGCAGTTGGAGTTATATTTTAAAAAACTAGAATATCTGTAGTATCCCACTGAAGTCAATAGGAGTTTTGTGTCTGCAAGAACTGGAGCATCAGGCTCATTGAATCTGATCCAAAGCCCTCTAAGGTCAGTGGGAGTCTTTCCACTGATTTCAATGGGCTTTGGATCAGGGCCGTGATGAATTGCAATAATCTTCTACATAAGGGTAAGTCTTCATCTCAAAAACATCACAACATAACACAAATAAGCAGAACAAGGATACCAAATCACAGGAGATATACAATAGAATTTGATCCATTTCATGTAAGGTTTCATTTTATTTTCACTTTTGAATTAATAGTAAGGATTCCAAGTACTGACACAATGATATTGTGAAATTTAGTTTTCTATTGGATCAAAGATGCCAAAAAAACTTTACTGGCCCACCTATGACTTCTAAGCGTAAAAAGGATTCTCAGTAGGAGTGTGATATAGTGAATATGATTACACTGTAAATACAGTATTGTGAAGATCATTAGCATTCTCTGCTGATGTACTAAAGTTATATAAAGTTCAGATTCAGAAACTCTTGCATCCAGAGACAGCAAGTGAGTCATCACAAACTTTGTTACATTCTACAATATTCATTTTTTTTCTGGGCTTGAGTCAAACCTCTTTGAATTTTAGATTTAAATCCAAGACCTACATAAAAACCAGAAATCCTGAGACAAGTACTAGACACAGGAGACTGCCACCACTGAAGCTGGAAAAAATCACAACTGTGCCTGCCCGGGAGTAGCTATAAATAGGTGAGTAGTCCTGCTATATGCAATGGGACGTGTTCAGTATGACTACTGTTCATTTTCGTGTGAAGTCACTCACTGGTATGCTTGCAGGACTGAGTTCTAACAATAGAAAAAAGTACCTGTAATCACCCAGTAGTCTCTAGTAGTTTCTGAGACATCAAGGTTTGGATACTCCAAAGCTTAAAAAAAATTAAAAATTATTTCATCATATTCCAACATCCAACACATTATACATCTCAAAAAATATAAAATTAACCAAGCACTAGGAAATAAGGCTAAAGTGTGGCTTTGCCACAAGCCCCACGTATGGGGCAAAACATTAGTGTGCTGTCCAGGAGCAGACCTGGAGACACAACAGAACTCCAAGGGTCACCATCTATTTCCCAATTTGTCCCTTGCTTTGTGGGAGTGGGGCAGCGGTCAAAAGTACACTGGGCCAAGTCCATTCCTAGCACAACATACATGCCCTGGTGCAGCTATGCCAGCTGGCATATTGGGAGGGGATGGAGCCAAGGCACCTTCCATTCCAGAGATACCATCCTTGCTCAGACTTTTAGGGACATTTATGAAAAAATTAGGGACGAATTAGGGAGGCTGCTTGGAGCAGCAGCAAATGCCAAAGGTGTGAAGCCAAATATACAAAGGTGGCCTGGGGTACTGCCTTGAACGCTTGTGGTGCATTTTAGATGCACTTCTGTGCATGGTAGAGTAATAACAGCGGTAAGCTGAAGTAACATTTAGTAACATCAACTTCTGTGACCAGGAGTGACCATGATATTGGCCATATACTCACTCCTTTGCAAGCACTTCTGACACCATTTTGCACGGTTTTTTGTTTGTTTGTTTGTTTGTTTTTTGGAGTTTTTGGCTGATTTTGTCCCTGGGTTAGGGCACTGATAAAAGGCAAGCTGTGGCAAGTTTAAATGGGTTGGGGCACAGGATTCACTGCCCAAGCCACAGGCTGCATGTTGTGCTCTAACTACCCTTTGTGGACCTGCTGTCATGCTCTAGATACCTACAGTGTGTTAACATAGTCCAGCAGGTCCATATGATTATGGAAAATTAGGGTGGGCTGGCACCTCTGCCATTCTCTACTTCCTCCTGCTCACAAATGCAGAGGCTCTACATAGGCTGCTCTTCCTACATTGGGGAGCCTGTGTAAGGGAGTAAGGGGACATTTAGTGCCTCCTTATTCCCCTGTGCAGCTTTACAAGCCAGGGCATAATTTGGTACTAAATAAATAATAAAATAAACCAGAGTCTGATTCTACTCAAATACACATTGAATAGAGCCCCACACATCACGTAGTCCTACTGAAACCAATGATTTCAGTAGGACTGCTCATGGAGTAAGGTACTATTTAATGTAAGGCTAGCAGAAGCTTATCCTAAATAAACAATATATAAAAATAATGTATTTAATATATGTATCAAATATATCTGTTTGTGTGTGAATTATAGATGAAACAAACAAAACTGACCCTATTTCATATTGCCAAACTATATGGCATCAAACATTCAGTGTATGAGGTTAATATGCCACCATTCATAGTATTATATATGCTGAAATTTACTAGATGGCTGTGAGAAACTCATGTTTTACATTTTGACCCACTTGCACTTTTACATCTCAAAAGTGCTTTATAATGTGGAATTCACGAGCAATTAATTCACAATCTAGATCTGCAGCTTTTTCATTAAAAAGGAAAATGTGGAAAGGATTTAATCTATGGCATACAGCAGCTTTAGTTACTGTAGAATTTTAGAAAACAAAATAAAGTGATTTGAAATATTAAACTTTGCAAAGCATCTGACTATACACAGTAATTACTTTTTATAAGGAATTGTATCACTGCTTACTTTAACTGTCGCCTTCTTCTTTGTACGGCTGATGTAAACGTAGAGCAACAACTATAATTTTACATTCAGATGGTTGAGCCAGATAATCGCGTCAGGAGTAGTGGAGTGTATCGCTCTAATGCCTCCTTCCTATTTATGAATCAGGCATTGAGTCGTTATATGTTCCATGGTCTGTTCTGGGTGACCAGATTCGCACACTGGAGAGTTCTTAATTTGTCATTTGTGCAGCAAGTATCCACATCTGCCATGATTTGTGCAGATGCTGTTCAGGGTTCCTTGACCTGTGCATGTATATGATAACTCCTGAAGGCCCTGAAGGAACCACTACAGCCTTCTGGGAAATAATGAGTTCTCACAAACATAGGAATAGTTACCTGGTAGACTGATACCATTACGGTGTCAAGTTAATAAGCACAAAACAATTTCCTAAGTAAATATTTACAGAACAGTCAGTATCAGGCTGAGGCTATATATTTTGCACGCATAGCAGGTTCATCAGTCAGCTGCATACCTGCTGTGGGGTGAATTTAACCAAGACCTGCAACTACTCTTTGAAGCCACTACATGGCGTGCTACAGTAGCACTAGCTAAGGACTTTATCATGCCTACTAGGCACAGACCTGTGCTGGGGGCAGTGAGGAACTGCATTACCCCATGGGGAGCTCTGGCAGGGATTCTGCCTCAGTGAGAGAATGCCTTTCAGAAGTCCCTTGCAATGAGGAGCATGCCTGCTGCTATACCACCTTTGTGGAAGGCAGCATACTCCTCTCCCTTGCACACCAATCCTGCTGCGGAGGCTGGTTTGAAGAGAGGGCCAGGGCCTTCGTCCCAACCCCTCTGGGAGCTCTCTGTGCACCAGAAGTAGCCCTGAATCTGCAGCAAGCATGTGGAGTTGTGTCAGCCATGCAAAGAAAAAAGGCTCCTTGTGCATGACTCCCCTTTCACCTGCATAAATTTCATAATCTGGAACTGATAAACATGTTGAGCAGGCCGATGCTGTGAAATTGTCCCAAGATAGAATTGTCTCAGGCAGTCAGAGATGCAGTACAGTTAGTGATGCAAAATTGTACAGTTTCAACCACAGTAATTCAGTTCCCTGCACGGCAATTGGTTGTGCTGGGCTAATTTGCACAATCACAATACGGTTATTTCTCAATGGTAATCCACTATGTGAATCCCTGTACTCTGATTTCAGAGTAGCAGCTGTGTTAGTCGGGTTAGGCTGCTTCTCCTGGCCTACTCGCATTGGTGAGTGAGCAGTTACTCATGCAAATGACTTCAGGGGGATTATTTGGAAGAGTAACTCATCATCACTGTGAGAAAGGGGGTCAAAATATGGCTCTATATGGTTATTTCTCAAGAAGGAAGAAAGGACCAAAAAGGTGATTTAACATTTCCCTGACTTCTCAAGTGTGACAACACTGTTTCATTAGGCCAGAAAATGTATTACAGTTTCTAAGGATTTTATTTTAAGATACAAACTCCAATAATTCAGAGGTAGGAGCAAAAAGCTGTACTTTGCCCTACTCTGTTAGGGCTAGTTATTGCAACACATACGGAATGGAAAATAACACACTGAGAATCCCATGAAATAAATAGGTCTGATAGGCTGGGTCGAAGACAGTGTTTGAGCCTTATCATTGAATTTCTTGGCTACTGTAGGCTTAAGCCAGATCTTTATTGTTCTTCCAACACAGTCTTTAATATTTGAGAAGTGTATCATGAAGACTTATGCATAATAAGATCAACTGGAACCTGCCCTCTTTTAACTCAAGACCATTATTACATATTAATGTCCCCCCATTGTGTCTTTGTCTCCATTTACACTGATCTTTTCCTGTGAATAGCAAACTCGTAATTATACTGAGCCTAATTTCACAGGCTGAATTTAAATGATCAAGCAAAAATCCCCATAGCCACCAATATTCTTGTGTCTTCACTCATTTTATGGAAATCAGAATATTACATGGGTCAAAGAAAATACATTCTGTGCGTACTGCCCTGAGGCATGATTTTCATCAATTCACAGCATCCTTGCCTCCTCATAATACAGGGAAATAAGAGGCTGCATAGTATGAAATGAATACTTCATCCTGAAATATTTAAACCTTGTTTGTGATTTAAAGAAATGTCTTGCAAAGTTAGCATAAGACACTCAGAAATTGCACCAAGAGTTGTTTCAAATAGGTTTTCAAACACAGTTCCTCTGCTCTTCACTTCAAGGCCTTCACCCATTCACCACTCTATTGGTTTCAAAAGCACCTGGATCTGTTGACATTCAGAGCACTACAAAGTCCATCTATTTCAACAGGCATTTGGGCTCTAATTCTGCTCCTGCTAAAGTTAATGTCAAAACTCCCATTGATATAATGGTGCAAAATCAGGCCATTGCTGAGGGCTGATGCTTGTTGGGTAGAGAGAGAGCGAGGGATGTCTTGTTATGTTTTCTTGATTCAGTGCTGGCTTTATACTTGTGTGAGATCTGCTGCTGTTTTGTCACTGGGAGACGGGTGTGGGGAGGAAGAAGTTTTATGCATTCTTAAATATTTACCAGGGTTCCTAGAGGCTGGGATAGGTGTCTATTTAATAAGTTAAACTGAAATAAATAAATAAATAAATAAATAAATAAAACGCCTTTTAAATTTCCATTTGTTACATTTCAAAGTACCTCAAGCAGGATCAGCAAATCAGAACACTATAATGTAAGAGCTTACATTCTGCAATGGTCAGTGGCGGGTAGGTAAGGTAGAATCCCACCAGCTCAGCTGAAAGCTGATTAAGAAGGTAGCTGGAGGTGGTGCCATTTAGGGCTGTACTTTGATTGCTCACCACATAAAACAAAGTGACCGCTTGGGAGACATTTGACGTGTTCAAAATCTGAAACAAAACAAAAGTAAGGAAATGGTGGGAGGCTACATTTCAACTCGTTAGTTCACACATTTTATATAATCAGTCCTAATAACAAATCAGAGAAATGTTGACTGTGATCATCATTTTCTGTAAAAAGGATGTGCTCTGTTTAGCACATGTAGCTTCATTACCGAACAGAGGCAGGTGGAACAGGAGTGGCCCTAAGTGAGGACCAGAAATTCTATTCCTGATTTTCAATGGAAAAATGGCAAAAATACAAGGAGGGTGAGACTGATTATTTGATAGATAAAATATTAAAAAGGCTTTACTCAGGCAAAGTGGTGTCACGTCCCCATCCCCCCCATGCGATCCTCAAGGGGCATCAGTCCCTTCTCTATCATCCTACTGAGGTGGCAAAAATCTCCTGCTCTCTCTTCCACCTTCATGGGAAAAAGGTCCTCCCCTTTCTTTCTGATCTTACTGCTCTGTTGAATGGCTTTCTGCTCCCTTCCTCACCCCCATCTCTGAGCCTGCCTCTATCCATACTGTGACTGGCATCTACTAAGGAGTACAGGAAGGGAAAAGGGGTGCTGAGAGAAGCACCGTTGTACCTCCCATCTCCTCCTATATTGCCACACATACCAGACACAAACTAGGAGCTTATTGAGGTATAAAAGAAAAAAATGTTAACTTTACTGTTTTTATGTAGGTTTTGCTTTATGCTTATTCATATAAATCATCATTTAATTTAACTGCCTCTTTTTAGGGTTATAGAGTAACAGCCGCGTTAGTCTGTATTCACAAAAAGAAAAGGAGTACTTGTGGCACCTTAGAGACTAACCAATTTATTTGAGCATAAGCTTTCGTGAGCTACAGCTCACTTCATCGGATGCATACTGTGGAAAGTATAGAAGGTCTTTTTATACACACAAAGCATGAAAAAATGGGTGTTTACCACTACAAAAGGTTTTCTCTCCCCCCACCCCACTCTCCTGCTGGTAATAGCTTATCTAAAGTGATCACTCTCCTTACAATGTGTATGATAATCAAGTTGGGCCATTTCCAGCACAAATCCAGGTTTTCTCCCCCCGCCCCCAACACACACACACACACACACACACACACAGAAACCCACTCTCCTGTTGGTAATAGCTTATCTAAAGTGATCACTCTCCTTACAATGTGTATGATAATCAAGGTGGGCCATGTGGGCCATTTCCAGCACAAATCCAGGGTTTAACAAGAATGTCTGGGGGGGGGGTAGGAAAAAACAAGGGGAAATAGGTTACCTTGCATAATGACTTAGCCACTCCCAGTCTCTATTCAAGCCTAAGTTAATTGTATCCAATTTATAAATGAATTCCAATTCAACAGTCTCTCGCTGGCATCTGGTTTTGAAGTTTTTTTGTTGTAATATCGCAACTTTCATGTCTGTAATCGCGTGACCAGAGAGATTGAAGTGTTCTCCGACTGGTTTATGAATGTTATAATTCTTGACATCTGATTTGTGTCCATTTATTCTTTTACATAGAGACTGTCCAGTTTGACCAATGTACACGGCAGAGGGGCATTGCTGGCACATGATGGCATATATCACATTGGTGGATGTGCAGGTGAACGAGCCTCTGATAGTGTGGCTGGTGTTATTAGGCCCGTGATGGTGTCCCCTGAATAGATATGTGGGCACAGTTGGCAACGGGCTTTGTTGCAAGGATAGGTTCCTGGGTTAGTGGTTCTGTTGTGTGGTATGTGGTTGCTGGTGAGTATTTGCTTCAGGTTGGGGGGCTGTCTGTAGGCAAGGACTGGCCTGTCTCCCAAGATTTGTGAGAGTGTTGGGTCATCCTTCAGGATAGGTTGTAGATCCTTAATAATGCGTTGGAGGGGTTTTAGTTGGGGGCTGAAGGTGACGGCTAGTGGCGTTCTGTTATTTTCTTTGTTAGGCCTGTCCTGTAGTAGGTGACTTCTGGGAACTCTTCTGGCTCTATCAATCTGTTTCTTCACTTCCGCAGGTGGGTATTGTAGTTGTAAGAATGCTTGATAGAGATCTTGTAGGTGTTTGTCTCTGTCTGAGAGGTTGGAGCAAATGCGGTTGTATCGCAGAGCTTGGCTGTAGACGATGGATCGTGTGGTGTGGTCAGGGTGAAAGCTGGAGGCATGTAGGTAGGAATAGCGGTCAGTGGGTTTCCGGTATAGGGTGGTGTTTATGTGACCATCGTTTATTAGCACTGTAGTGTCCAGGAAGTGGATCTCTTGTGTGGACTGGACCAGGCTGAGGTTGATGGTGGGATGGAAATTGTTGAACTCATGGTGGAACTATCAACTGCATGAAAAAACTTGTACAGATACAGTCAGACATCATCTTCCTTTCCAAATGCAAACAGATGGACATCGTACCAAAAGGACTGAAGGTAAAAAATCCATTACCATCTACATAGCACACAGACTATGCTGACAGCTTGTGCCACACGCTCTCAAAGAAACTGCGGAACCACCTGATCAACATCCTCTATAGCAAACAGGGAAAGATAAAGAATGAGCTCTCAAAAATGGATACTCTCATAAAAAACCAACCTTCCACACAAACTTCCTCGTGGCTGGACTTTACTAAAACTAGACAAGCCATTTACAACACACACTTTGCTTCTCTACAAAAGAAAAAGGACACTAAACTTTCTAAACTACTACATGCCACAAGGGGCCACAGCAATGGTTCCCTCAACCCACCCAGCAATATTGTTAACCTATCCAACTATACTCTTAGCCCAGCAGAATCAGCTGTCCTATCTCGGGGCCTCTCCTTCTGCCCCTCCACACCCACGAACATGATACAGTTCTGTGGTGACCTAGAATCCTATTTTCGACGTCTCCGACTCAAGGAATATTTCCAACACACCTCTGAACAACATACTAATCCACAGAGACCTCCCTACCAACACTACAAAAAGAAGGATTCTAGGTGGACTCCTCCTGAAGGTCAAGACAGCAGACTGGACTTCTACATAGAGTGCTTCCACCGACGTGCACGGGCTGAAATTGTGGAAAAGCAGCATCATTTGCCCCACAACCTCAGCCATGCAGAATACAATGCCATCCATAGCCTCAGAAACAACTCTGACATCATAATCAAAAAGGCTGACAAAGGAGATGCTGTTGTCATCATGAATACGTCGGAATATGAACAAGAGGCTGCTCGGCAGCTCTCCAACACCACTTTCTACAAGCCATTACCCTCTGATCCCACTGAGAGTTACCAAAAGAAACTACAGCATTTGCTCAAGAAACTCCCTGAAAAAGCACAAGATCAAATCCGCACAGACACACCCCTGGAACCCCGACCTGGGATATTCTATCTACTACCCAAGATCCATAAACCTGGAAATCCTGGGCGCCCCATCATCACAGGCATTGGCACCCTGACAGCAGGATTTTCTGGCTATGTAAACTCCCTCCTCAGGCCCTACGCTACCAGCACTCCCAGCTACCTTCGAGACACCACTAACTTCCTAAGGAAACTACAATCCATCGGTGATCTTCCTGATAACACCATCCTGGCCACTATGGATGTAGAAGCCCTCTACACCAACATTCCACACAAAGATGGACGACAAGCCATCAAGAACACTATCCCCGATAATGTCACGGCTAACCTGGTGGCTGAACTTTGTGACTTTCTCCTTACCCATAACTATTTTACATTTGGGGACAATGTATACCTTCAGATCAGCGGCACTGCTATGGGTACCCGCATGGCCCCACAGTATGCCAACATTTTTATGGCTGACTTAGAGCAATGCTTCCTCAGCTCTCGTCCCCTAATGCCCCTACTCTACTTGCGCTATATTGATGACATCTTCATCATCTGGACCCACGGAAAAGAAGCCCTTGAGGAATTCCACCATGATTTCAACAATTTCCATCCCACCATCAACCTCAGCCTGGTCCAGTCCACACAAGAGATCCACTTCCTGGACACTACAGTGCTAATAAACGATGGTCACATAAACACCACCCTATACCGGAAACCCACTGACCGCTATTCCTACCTACATGCCTCCAGCTTTCACCCTGACCACACCACACGATCCATCGTCTACAGCCAAGCTCTGCGATACAACCGCATTTGCTCCAACCTCTCAGACAGAGACAAACACCTACAAGATCTCTATCAAGCATTCTTACAACTACAATACCCACCTGCGGAAGTGAAGAAACAGATTGATAGAGCCAGAAGAGTTCCCAGAAGTCACCTACTACAGGACAGGCCTAACAAAGAAAATAACAGAACGCCACTAGCCGTCACCTTCAGCCCCCAACTAAAACCCCTCCAACGCATTATTAAGGATCTACAACCTATCCTGAAGGATGACCCAACACTCTCACAAATCTTGGGAGACAGGCCAGTCCTTGCCTACAGACAGCCCCCCAACCTGAAGCAAATACTCACCAGCAACCACATACCACACAACAGAACCACTAACCCAGGAACCTATCCTTGCAACAAAGCCCGTTGCCAACTGTGCCCACATATCTATTCAGGGGACACCATCACGGGCCTAATAACACCAGCCACACTATCAGAGGCTCGTTCACCTGCACATCCACCAATGTGATATATGCCATCATGTGCCAGCAATGCCCCTCTGCCGTGTACATTGGTCAAACTGGACAGTCTCTATGTAAAAGAATAAATGGACACAAATCAGATGTCAAGAATTATAACATTCATAAACCAGTCGGAGAACACTTCAATCTCTCTGGTCACGCGATTACAGACATGAAAGTTGCGATATTACAACAAAAAAACTTCAAAACCAGATGCCAGCGAGAGACTGTTGAATTGGAATTCATTTATAAATTGGATACAATTAACTTAGGCTTGAATAGAGACTGGGAGTGGCTAAGTCATTATGCAAGGTAACCTATTTCCCCTTGTTTTTTCCTACCCCCCCCCCAGACATTCTTGTTAAACCCTGGATTTGTGCTGGAAATGGCCCACATGGCCCACCTTGATTATCATACACATTGTAAAGAGAGTGATCACTTTAGATAAGCTATTACCAACAGGAGAGTGGGTTTCTGTGTGTGTGTGTGTGTGTGTGTGTGTTGGGGGCGGGGGGGAGAAAACCTGGATTTGTGCTGGAAATGGCCCAACTTGATTATCATACACATTGTAAGGAGAGTGATCACTTTAGATAAGCTATTACCAGCAGGAGAGTGGGGTGGGGGGAGAGAAAACCTTTTGTAGTGGTAAACACCCATTTTTTCATGCTTTGTGTGTATAAAAAGACCTTCTATACTTCCCACAGTATGCATCCGATGAAGTGAGCTGTAGCTCACGAAAGCTTATGCTCAAATAAATTGGTTAGTCTCTAAGGTGCCACAAGTACTCCTTTTCTTTTTAGGGTTATAGTCAACACACAAAATATGTCACAGTATAGTCACTCAATAGACTTCTCTGCTCTGATCGTCACTGGTTATTCTACAGGATATTAAACACACAGAGAACTGTAATCAATAAACCCAACATTTAATCTATTTGTCACTAACACAGGCTTTATAAGGATATGAGTACACTGCAACATAAGCCTGAGCTTGAGCTCAGCTTAAGGCTAACTCCCTCTTGCATCTACATTGCAATTGCTCAGACCCAAAGGCTGGAGGGTCTGAGCTCGAGTTAAGCCAGGACCCAGAGTCCAAGCCCTATTGTTTGGCAGCATAGATGCAGCCCTGCTTGACTGAGGTCCCAGGAGTCAGTCAGAAGTATCCCACAGTTCCTTGGGACAATTTCCATAGTCCTTTCTATCCCAACAATCTGCAATCCACTCTATTGAAAACAGAAGCCAGCCCCCACCACCCGCCTCATGCGAATGGCAGAGTTAACCCATTCTTCTCTGATCACCAATCTGCAAGCACACTATCAGAGAGCCTCCTGGGTTTGCAATGGAAAGTGAACCTATCAAGCCTTTTGTAAAGCGAACTGCTTCCGGGTCACAGGAGCACAGCCAGATTTTGGTGAATCTCTGGTGCAAGACCAGTAAAATTGTGGAAAAGCAAAAGCACCAGGAATGACCACGTGTACCAGCAGACAGATAAAAAGCTGGCAGCTCTGCAGATTCTCCAGACAGGTTATCATTGTAGGGAGCATATTAAGAGGCTGAAGAGTGAATACCAGAAGACCAGGGACAAGAACTGCACTTTGGGCAACCTGCCAATTACATGCTCATTTTATGATTACTTTGACTAGGTCCGGGGCTCTGCGCCCAGCATGGAACCATCCATGTTTCATGAGGACCTGGTGAGCTGGGATGGTGCCCTGCTGGCCCCTGAAATCAGCATGGGAACTGATGGGAGCCCAGCACCAGGCTCCCTGTCAAGAGCATGAAGTGACTCTTTTAATAGAACTAATCACAGAGGAGTAACTACATGAGTAACTTTAGGCATGTGAGGACTCTCCTCTCCCATAAATCTTTGTACAATCTTTGCAGAATCAAGCCCATGGTGTACAGGACAGATTTACAAACATGGAGCATACAGGACACAAAGAAAGGCGATTCATTCCCTTGGTTCTGATCCTGCAAACACTTGCACATCTTTAACTTTACACACATGAATAGACTCACGGGTTCTTAGTAAGAGTGCTAGATATGACATGTTCTACTCCTCAAAGTTCAGTAAACATATAGAGAAAAGTATCTTACACTTGATTATCAGAAGGAGTTTTGTTGGAGCTGACTTGTAATAAATATAAATAGTATTAGAATGATGACTCTACTTAAACCTGAAACTCAGTAAATTTTCAGTTCAGAAAAGTGACATGAATAATGGTTATTCAAATAATAAAACAGCTTTTCGTGCAACTGTGCTTCATTATCTTTTTTCAAAAATGTTGCATCCATAAGATCTTAGCAAAACGTAAAACAGCATAACTTAATATGAAAATATAAAAACATTTCCAAAGGAACTATCAAGTTTATTATGATGACATTAACATAATGTCTATAAACTCTCTTAACAGCAGGGAATAATCATATGTGATTTAAAGATTGGCTAAAGAGGTTGTATTTTACCTGAACTGTTAAGTTGTTGCTAGTGTTTAAGACCTTTCTTTCAGCATCCTCGAATGCTTTTTGTAACCGTTGCTCCATGGTCTGAACAAACTTGCATGACTGTATGTTGTCTGTTTGACCAACAAACTGCAGCTCTAGAACAGGAACAGTATGTATGTGTTTTAGTGAAAATATATTCCTAGTCTGCATAACTCTTATAATGAGTCACACCAAAACGATCGATTTAAGAAATTAAACAAGTGATAGTAATATCATGCGAGGGTTGCATATGTTTTTAAGTAGCATTATAAACAGTTCATCATTAATATAGAATACAAGAATTAAAATCTGTGATTACAAGCATAAATAAAAGTGATATATATGATTGAAAATGTTCTCGTTCAGAGGCTAAGGGACAAACTAAAAGCATTTTAAAACATGAATGATATCTTTACAATCTTTAAGTCATGGATTCCTCATAGGAAAGAAAAAATCATCATACAGATTCTCATTCTTTTTTCTCTGGATAATAGCATATGCAACAAGATATTTGTAATATTTTTATATATTTATGAAATCTCTTCCCCTCCCCCAGCCCAGTCAGTGAAATTCAAAATGTGTCCTTACAGGCTGACCTGCTAGTGCAACACTTCACCTAGTATATGGGGAATCAGTCTGGAGACACAAGGTAAGTATGGACCAATTCCCCCACATTCTCCTGTTACTCTGCACTGAGCACTGCTGTAGTATTACAGAGAGGGTAAAATGATAAAACCAGGTTTAGGATGTTTGGAATCCAAGACCCCAGTTGGTCCAGCCAGACCTTATATGCATATATGGGGCTCTTGGCATCATAGGAAATACATAATATGCTTCAGAATACATTTCACTCATTTAGTTCAGGGTCTGACGATTTCAAAAATGTAAATGTATTGGGCCCAATTCATCCCAGGTGTAACTCCACTGTTTTCACTGTTCTCACGTTTAAAGAGACAGCATGGACAATGGGTACTCCTGGAGGAATTCTGTGCCACTGCGCAATGCAGAATTTTGCAGAAATTAATGTGTGCATGCAGAATTTCCTTTCCCCCATGGAAATGGGCTGCAGTGCTGCTAGCCGCCACTAGGGGCCACTGGACCCAGCCCAGCCCAGCTTGCACATAGAAGACACTGCTGGGGGGAGGGAGAGGGAGATAGAGGGTTCCTGGCAGCTGCAGTTCCCAGCATGCCCTGAGGGAAGGAAAGGACGGCTTGCAGGAAACTCTATGCAAGCCTGGGACCGAGCATCAGTCTGTTTCTCCCTCTGTATCCCTGGGCTCTGGGAGGGAGGGGGATGGGTGAATGGGCAAGGGGCCCTGCAGCTGGGCTCTGGGGAAGAGAGTGTTCGGGTGCATTGGCTGGAAGCGTGGCACAGGTGGTCTCTGAGGGAGAGGGATTGTGGGTGTCTGGCCCCCTGACTGGGCTTGGGGAGGGGAAGAGGCAGGAAGAGGGCAGAGAAACAGGAACTGGGTTGTCATAGGGGTTTCTTTAACTCTCTACTCCTGGGGGAAAATGTGTGCGTGTCCGTATTGTTACAGACATACTTGCTGACAGGTATTTTGAAATAAATTACCAAAATAATTGAAACTGACGTGATTATGTAGTGTTATTTTGACAAATAAAATTTGCAGAATTTTAAAATATTGTCTGCAGAATGCCCCCAGGAATAAATGGGACTGCACACATCGAACTGGGTACCAAATTTAGAGCACTGTTTTCTCTGAGGGGAACTGATTGCTGAACTGACAGTAAGTTGTGTACTAGGAAAAGAGCCTGAGACATAAGCCCTTGTCTCAGAGGCCTGCTATGAGGCAGGACCTGCTCACATCATGTGGAAAGAACGGGGCTGATATTGCAGAAATACACATTCCTAAGAAATGTTAAGTTCAGAGTACTCATGCAAACACATCCCAATATTAAGGATGGTACAAAAACATTCCCCAAGGATAACAGAAACACACTGACCCCTCCTAAAAGATAAGGTCAGGATGACAGTACGTAACTTGTTTGTACTGGTGTATAAAGATGTATCTCTTTGGCCAGCCTTGGAGGCAGTGGAAAGTCCCGCCACGGACTGAGCTGCATCCACTGTCATAGGCATACATGTCTTAGTATCCTCTTAGAGTGCCAGGTGCTATTACTGTGCTTCATCAACAATAATCCTCGCTGGGTGCCTTCGTACTTTAAAAGATCTTGTGATCATTGGGCGGTACACTCGAGGTCTGCTGTGCCAACGGTCTGCGCAGAGCTGGGACAGCACACAGGGAGAACATACACATGCACCAAATATCTAACCACAAGTTGTGCAACTGTTACACCAGATATGTGATTTTGTTACTTGCCTGTTTTCAGCTGGAAGTGGTATGCAGGTAATGGATTCCATGGCAAGGCCAGTACAGCAACAGACTGAAGATTTGGCACATGCTGCTTTATGTCCGCTGTGGTGTTGCTAATACCATAAGCAATGAGCATTTCAGTAACAACAGCAGGTATAAAAACCAACCTCCCCTTCGTAACGTAGTAACCAACTGTCACATTGTTTGATTGTTCCAGAATTTCAACCTAAAACACACAGGGAAAATGTCTTTTTAATTTCCATTTTAAGTACTATGCTATTGGATTTTTTCATTCTGAATGGGATTTCCTAGAGGTTTTGTATGCAATCTCCTTTAGGGCAGGAGGGAAGCAGGTGGTGCAATATACAGTAATTTTAATTTTGAATCTGAAATCTAAAGTTCCCATCCTGAAAACCCTGATACACAAGTAACTTCACACACAAAAAGTTCCACTAAGTTCTCATGTGTGTGTCAATGTTTGCAGGCTCAGGACCAAAAGAGTGTAAGGATAAAATTCTTTACTGCCTGACCCCCCCTTAATTTCACTTGGGGCTCTGTTCTGTGTACTCAGAGCTCTCTCAGCAGGCAAAGCTATCATTGTGATCACCAGAAGTTCTGGGCATAGATCAACTACAGAATGAGCACAACAGTGAGCTACAGCAAAGAACAGGAATAGAGAGAAAAATTTTGCCCCAAGAACATACAATTTCTTGGGTTGTTAGACTCAAAACTTGTCCTTAGCACTACATCAAGTTGGGATCCTCCATTAAAGGGGAGAGGAACACAACCCAGAAGGAGAGGAGTAACAGTACAGCTGCTCTGCAGCCTGTATAGCCATCGTGGGGTACAAGCTCACTTCTGCCATCTTCCCCTGCTGACTTAGCATGAGAAAGGGAAAGGAGAAATTTGTAAAGTTATAGCTCAACAACAAAACTGGACTTTCCACAATTTATTCAAATAGGATGATTTTTGTCCTTCCTCCATCATTTTTATCAATGTTCCCTTTTTGTGTCTTTACTCACAGCCAATATGCCATAAGCAGAGCTGTGCAAAGAACCCCTGTTTACAGCAATGGGAGCTCCGTCCCTCACTTTATACAGAATATGGCTCTAGCAATCTATTTCATTCTGGGCTTACATTCCAGATAACCCAGAATTTCATGTCATTTAGATGGAAAGTAAGGAACATGCCACTCATTTATTTTAGTAGAAATTGTTTACTCCCAACTGCAGGGTTTTTTTGTCACTGTAGAAGCGAATGTATCAGGTACTAGGCTTCCAAACTGGATGGATTGACAGCAGTGATAACCCATTTACTGGTCTTGCTGTTGCAGCTGATCCGTATTAAGCTGTGGAAGCACTTGGCTCACTACATGGCTATACTCATTCCTGGCTTTCAAGAGGAAGAACCTGCTGCTGTCAGTAGCCATCTCCCACAATGTGCCAAAGAGACAACTGCCTCTCTTCCGCCTTTTTACCTTTTAAAATAAAATGACAGCCATCATAAAAGTGACCCTAAAATTGTTAGAGCCCACATAGTGTTTGGGCCACCCCTGCCTTTCTCCCATGGGAAAGCTACAAAAAGCCCTGCACTTTCCTCCAAGACAGATTGCCACCTCTGTAATGCACCCAATTTCTGCAAATAAAATTCCCCACCTTGACTTGCCCACAAAGCAGTCCAATAAAGCTGCAGCCAATTTATAAAAAATAAATACTGGTAAGTCAGGGGCTTTCATAGAAAAGACAGTTTTATTTCTGGTTTAAAGAAGATTAATAGAAATGTTGTATCTTCAGAACAAGAAAAACCTGTCTGAAAATGACAAAGAAATACTGTATACGCTCGTATTTAAAGTTAGCCTGCTAAACGCAGCTACAGAGTTATACAACAAGCCGTTACATCAGACTTATAGAAAAACAAGTTAAATAAATTCTAACCATAAAAAGGAGAAATACGTGCTAAAGTATAACTTTGTCCCTTGACATGCTGAATTGCCATTTGGAGTTAATCATACCGGTGAAGTTCTCAGATGCTTGGAGAACTGTATTACTTAAAGACCAAAATAAATTCTCCAAAACATAACAGTTTGCCATTAACTGGACGCACAGTCAAAACAGTCTGTTGTTATTAAACAGTAATGATGTTATGAAAGTTTTTGGAGAAAAATGTTTCCTTCTCTATCTATCTGTCACTGGCAATAAAATTTAAAAGCCTCAGAATGTGTAATTCTAATCCCCCCCCCCTTTTTTTTTTTAAAAGCTCCAAACACCAATTTTCTGGTTTTTTGTTTTTGTGCGGGGGCAGGCCTTGATGAGGTGAAAGAGAAGGGGAAAAAATTGGGTAAACTATGGGGTTAAATATTCTCACTACTGCATAGCCAAAATCAAGCCTGCCATGTGCCATGCATCTTGTCTCTCCCACATTTGGCAGCCCTGAGATTTCTCACATCCAGCAGGGCTGCAGGAAGGGCCTGCTGGCCATCAAGGGCCATTGCAGCACCTGCTGAGCAACAAGTCAGACAGCCTCTACTTCACATCACACTGCTCCCTCTGCTAGAGCCAAGTGGATAAGGAACAGTTGGGAAGAGAAGGCGATTACTCCCTCAATCTTCCAGTAGTTAATACCATCCTTAGATTATCTAGAACCAGTTCATGGACTGAATTCCATTCAGTACACAATTCCATCAAAAGGTACCTGGCTCTGCGTATCACAAATGCAAACTACTCAGTTTTGTGGGTCTTGGAGGCCTTATTCCTTTTTGTTTGAATTGGGTCTAATAGAAATGAGATGAGATACAAGAGTTAGAAACTAGGATGCCCTTAATTCATATTATTAAAAACACACAAAACCCCCACAAAAACAACATCTTTCACAAACTACTAATATTCAGTACAAAAGTTCTTTTGGGGGGGCGGGGGGGAGACTTATTTTACTATATGCTAACTAAGCTTGCTTACTTGAGCATTGACATTTTGGTTGAAAGCTTGTCTCAGTGCCTGGGTCAGTCCTTTTGTCACATTCTCTTTTAAGGAACTGCTGATCAGCAGCCTTCTTGTGTTCAGGAACAAAACTGTTGAACAACACCAAGTTAAACATTAGTTTGAAACATCAATGTGCTGTTTGCTTGAGGGTCGGTTTATTTTTTCTTCTAATTTTGATCACAGTCATTCGAAACTCAAAGACTATCCATAAGAAGCTATGCTGTGCATTAGGTACACGGAAGTTCAGTACTGCAGGGGCTAGACACAACCCGATTTCTCAAGTCCTCAGTGTACAAGGCCTATTTGGGGGGGATCACGGACTAACAGTTGCAGTAATATTTTAAAACACTGAGTTACCAGCATGCTGCTGTTTTGAGGAGAGTACTCTATAACCAGACTATCTGAAGACAGACTGATGAAGCATTCTAACACAGCTGATGTGGCATTGCCTCACAGGGCTCATGGTACAGGAAGGTTCAGGGAGGACTGTGTGGAAGAATATGCACTGCACATTTTCATAAAGAGAACAAATTAATATTTTTACTTCTCAAAAGTGGAAACAAACAAATAAAAATGGCATTTCATATCCACTGTGACTTTCATTATAGAAATTGTCCGAACTTTTGTTTTTTGCTCTGGGGCAAAGACTGGGTCATTTACCCGTGGCATCTTTGTAGCATAATTTGCAGACAGACTAAGGGCTAGTCTACACTAGAAGCACTACATCGATGCAGCTACTCCAATGCAGCTGCGCCACTTTAGCACATCTGGTGAAGATGCTGTATGCTGACGGGAGAGTATATGCATAGCTTTAGAGGGGAGATGGCATCGAAGGCTGATAACAGAGGACGTTCATTAGCATCTGCACTCCCTCCTAGAGAAGGTACATACAATGCCGCAAAAGCACATACACAATTGTATTTTAATACATTGTGTCCCAAAAGTATCAAACCTACTTCAATAAGGTTTAGCTTAATTCAATAAAATTTATCTAAATTCCATAAGATTGTTCAAGATATTACAGGATATTGTCATTCTGTCACAGCTGCTGCCCATGTCGTGTTAGTGCAGCAGATATTTAGGGGCCTCAGACATAGGAAAAAGGATATAATATTTCCAAGAGAGGATCATTTCCAGATTTCACTCTCCCAAGCCCCTCTCATGCCTGTATAAATTGACATATCCTTTTATCTATACCTCCCCCTTCCTTTTGTAACTCTCAAAGCCAAGTATCTAATGTGGTGATACACTATGCCAGTGGTTCTCAATCAGGGGTACACAGAGGTCTTCCAGGGGTACATCAACTCATCTCTATATATTTGTCTAGTTTTACAACAGGCTACATAAAAAGCACTAGCAAAGTCAGGACAAACTAAAATTTCATACAATGACTTGTTTATACTGCTCTATATACTATACACTGAAATGTAAATATTTATATTCCAATCAATTTATTTTATAATTTTATGGAAAAAATTAGAATGTAAGCAATTTTTCAGTAACAGCGTGTGGTGAAACTTTTGTATTTTTATGTCTGAGTTGGTAAGCAAGTAGTTTTTAAGTGAGGTGAAACTTGGGGTACACAAGACAAATCAGACTCCTGAAAGGGGTACAGGAGTCTGGAAAGGTTGAGAACTACTGCACTACACCACCAGCATAAGTCTGGTAAAAAATTATTTCTAAAGACCCATTCAATTGACTGTTCTTAGGAGTGGCCTTACCTTAAGTTTAAGAAACCAAGATTAGAGCAATGACAAGTGGTGCTATTATCAAAATTTAGTATGTCAACATGTGACAATAAAATATTTTGAAAACGTATGATATGAAATGCTTTTTTGAGGCACTGTTATGATATAAACATTGCTTTGAAATTCTTCTGTACATAGGAGTTTACAGAATGACATGCCATTCCATATCAGAACAAAAGTCTATCTAGTATATTAACCTGCTTCAATCTGTTACCTCTGCCTGTCACCTCTGCCTGTCACTGCAGAGGAAGGAACAAACTATCATAATGTGCTTGACCACCGTGCAGCTCATGCCCTGGAGCATGGGATTTGGTTACCTCCTTTGAGCATGTATACGGTAGAATGTAAAAGTATATATATAAATCTATTATCTATATTTACTAACCCCACCATAACCTATCTATTTGGCTTGTTAGTGTAGTCATCCCCATTGTATCTAATCCCCACATTAATCATTATAGCTCTTAAGTTATTTAGTAAACTAACCAGTATTTAAACAACTTTTCTATTTATGATGAACTATACTTCATACAAAACGGATGTATTTCTAATCAAACAAGCTGAATATAGATCCATACCTGATTTAACCATAAGGTTACTGGATAGCTGGCATTCCGGGGGGGGAACTGTTGTCACATTAGCAAAAGTTGCAATTGCAGTTGTAGGAGCAGCAGAATTGTTTTCCACTGGAGCAGGGGGGAGCCTAGTTGTTTTCGCTGATGCTGTAATAGATGTCAAAGCTGCTGTAATTGTCAGTGGATATGCAGTTGATGTTTTGGTGATTTCTGAGCTTGTAAATTTCTTGGTGTCAGGTACTGTGGTTTCTATCTGTCTTTGTGTGTGTGTTGTGGATGTCAGTGTGGAAGCTGTGACTGTGCTAACATTATTGGTTAGAAACATAACGGTGTGGGGGCGTGATGTAGGTGTGTGTCTTGGTGCAAACGGAAAGTTTGTATGTGTTTCTACTGTTGATGTCATTTTTGAGGCACTGTTATTTTTTGCTAGTGTTGATATCAATGTGCTTAATGCTGTCACAGACAGCAAGGGTGCATTTTCACTGCCTAGAGAAAACAAGGATGAAGTTGGCGCAGATTTTCCTGTTACTGATTTTGCTTCTGAAGTTGCTACTGTAGGTATTGCACCTGCCGACACTGAAGGTAGCACTGTAATGACAGAATGGGTAAAGTTGGTTGTTGGCAAAAAAGCAGAGGTTATATGTGTTGGTGATGCATGGACAGAAGTTATGATGACTGACTGTAAAGCATTGGTGGTATGTGTTTGCGATGGGGTGCCATTGGTAGCTTCATTAGGTACAGCAACTGTAATTAGAATATCACCTGTACCATTTGCATACCACCTTTCTGTACTAAACGTAGCTTGTTTTTGAATAACACTAGTCAAGTGACTCGGTGGTTCTGAAACAGAGCTGTTTGTAAAGTCTGTCAAATTTCCAGAAGACAAGTATTTTTCTGGAGTTAGAATAGATATCAGTGTTGAGCTTGAAGATTGTTTGGCTATTGGAAAGGAAGAAATTGTTGGTTGTGTACCACTGATAGAACTAATTTCATTATTAGCTGTGACAATCAAATTGTCAGTGAATTGAGAAGCCAGTGGTAGCTCAGATGGTGTTGTGTATAAGGCTTTTGTTGATGAAGAGATATTGTCACCATGGATTGTCTGAGATTTCAGAGTGCTATAAGCAGTACTTGTATCATCAGTTGCAAAATCCTTCACTGTAGGCAAATACAGATGGGGGGATACTTCAAAGTTTGCAGTGAAGTTAGTGTCCCTGAGAGTGAAGAATTCAGTAACATTTTGAGTTGTGTCAGTATCTTTTTTTGACTGGGCTGCAGGTAGTGCTGTAGTGGTAGCCTGGGGCGAATACTGAACACTAGACCTTTCCAGGGCAGATGAACGTATGTTAAATTGTGTGAAATTAGGAGACTTAATTTCAGTCAAAGGTGAAGTTGAAACATTTTGATTAGATTTTGCAGATGTAGACGTTTCTAAAGTTACAGAGATAGAAGCAGTTTGTTTGTTTGTAACATCATTTATTTGCTGTTGCAGACCTGAAATTGTTGAATATGGGGCGTGATACCCAGTTTCTAATGAAGAAGTGCTTGGAGAAACTTCCATTATTGGAATGTTGGTTGTTTCTTTTACTGACAGAACACTAACACCAGCTGAAGTAAGCACGGCTGTAGTAGTCCATTCAGAAGCTGAAGCACTGATTATAGGTATAGGTATCTTTGTGGTATCTAAACTGCTTTCAGAGGCAGCATTTGAAATATTAGAGAAAGCTGACGCTGGGCTGTGTGGAGCTTCTGTTGCTGGAACAAATGATGGCAATGCATATAATTCTGAAGGCACAATAGTGGTCCATGGTTTTGTATCATCTGTGGTTGAAACTTCATCAGTGGTAAGATCAGGTTTATTTAAAGCTTGTAGAGGGGCATATTCTATATGTGGAGTGACAATGGTGAATGTTTCTGTATCTGTTTCTTCATTTTCTGTTAAGTCTACAGCTGGACTTTCTCCATTAATAGCTGAAAGCTGTGAAGTTGTAGAATTATGAATAGCAGGTGTATCTTTAATAGTGAGCACAGATTTTGAAAGGCCTGTATTGGGAGTGGGTAATGATACTGCAGATGTAGTAACAGAACTGATGACTTCTGTTTTCAAAATACTTTCAGGCAGCACTGTTCCTGTTGTGCGCTTGCTGGGTCGAGTTTCTGGAGAAACTCTGGAACGCTGAGATCCGTAAAAAAGGACATTGTTAGAATCTATGTTGGTGTATACTTTGGCTGTACTACCTGTTTCGAAAGACTGATGGGGTGCCTCTCTAACTAAAGAGCCATCAGAAGGTTGCAAAGTATGTTCAAAATCACTTGATAATACCACTGTATTGGCCTCAAAACCTGTATCAGTCACCTCTTTTCCAACAGCTTGACTGATTGACACTGCTGAGCGAAAGGACGAAATATTTATTAGAGGGAACACAGAAGTGTTCTCATAGGCTGGTGTTGAGTTTGTTGCGTTGTTAGTATGTGCTATAATATTAAAGGTATGATTTGTCACAGTTATTAAGGAAGATTCTTTATCTGTTGAATAAGGGAGTGTGTTTTTTCTGAAAAGAAAGTCTGATATACTTGTAGGTGCTGGCGGTGGAACTACTGCGTTGCTGGTGCTTATTGCATCTGGAATAAATTTTCTTGGCACAGTAAAGGAAGACCTATTTTCTGTTGAATGGGAGAGTCCCACTGGATTATTAGAAGCTGGTGATAAAAATATTGTCTTGGTAGAACCCGACATGGCATTAGTTGATGTGGAAGACTGATGACTCATCACTTTTGGTAATGCAGATATAGTGCCCACGGTATGAAAGAATGAAGTACTAACCATTGGAATCTCTGATTTACTATTAAAAGCTGGTGACGATGCATCTGGGCTGAGGTCATTCTCTCTGTCAGTCACCACTGCCTTGAATGGCAGATTGGTGGGTATTGCTCCAGAAGAAGACACGTTATCTGTTGAGTGAGACAATGAAGTTCTTTCAGTAGGAAACCATGACACAGTTTCAGAAGCTATTGGTAGGAAAGACTGAGAGGAAATTACTGACAGAGAAGTTGGAGAGTGTGCAGAAAGTAGGGAGGTACTTTCTGAGGGTGACACTCTTCCCATTGTCTTTGTGGAATGTATCATTGTTGATCCAAAGCTATTAAGTGATGTGGTACCCGTGACCTCTTTGGGACCCCTTCTGGATAATGTGTGATTCAATGTACTGGAATTTACAGCAGTGACTGTGCTTGGTGGATTATCTCTGCTTGCACTAAAATGAGAGTCAGTTGAATCTATGTGGAAGGAACTTTCAGTATCTGTGGATAAAGGCACTTTGGTGGGTAGTACAGTCAACTTAGAAAAGATAATGGTATGAGGTGATTGTATTACCAATGAAGAAAATGATGGTGATGGAACAGTTGCAAGAATGTCTGATCCTGATGTGGTTTCTTTTGAAATGGAGGGTGTTTCTAATGATGTTAGCTGAGATGGTACAGCAGTACTTGAATGTGTCATTGATGGTTTTGTGGACAATGTGGCAAACATACTGATTTGAGGCAAACCTGATACAACAGCTGTTTCATTTACATCTTGAGAGGATGACCTCACTGGTGATTCAGCTGAAACCTCGGAAGGCTCCTGGGATGCACTATTTCCGCTGCCTTGGTAAAGAGTGGGCGAAAAATTAGTTTGATCCATAGTTCTGGCGCCAGTCAGTGTTGTTTTTATTTTCTGAAGCAAGTTTGCATTCTCCAATGTCTGTCTCATTGACATGTCAGCCACTGAGGAAGACTTAATTTCTGTTGAAGGCCATGTTGGTGAAAATATAGATCTCCAGTGAGCAGGAGACTCTGTAGAAGGGGCAACATTTATTTGGTGTTGTTTGGTACCTGTAAAAAATAATTAAAATGAATATTTTGCAAAAAATGTGTTATCTTTATACACTACACCAGTGAATCTGAACAGAAAATGTTTAATCCTAGGTAAATGACTTATTTCTCTGTGTTGGAAGGACATAATGAATGAACCATCAGAGAAAGTTAAAAAATATGAACATGAGAAGTGCAATGTGAGTAAAACATAACTCTCTAATTGTTTCATTATACAGAAAAATTAAAGATAACGCCAAGCTTTACTCACAGTGATAATACAAAATAATTACTAATATTGCTCATAAATTAGGATGGCTTAACTTAATAGGAAGATAAGTTGTTGCACCCGAGACAACTTCTGATGTTATCATCTTCATACTGTGTCAAAATATTATATGCAATGTAGTTGTAACCGTGTTGGTCCCAGAATATTAGATACACAAGGTGGGTGAGATAATATCTTTTAATGGACTGGCTTCTGCTGGTGAGAGAGAAGCTCAAATGCTCGTCTCTCTCACCAACAAAAGCTGGTCCAATAAAAGATATTACCTCAACCACCTTGCCGCTCAAAATATTAGGGATTAGAAGCAGCTATACAGAGGGAATGGATTCTGACAACCAAACATCACTGACTTAGCATAGTGTACACTATGGGAATAGAGTCAAAATTGGTTGGGTTCCTCTATGAAGCATCTGTACGTGGTCATCTTGCCAGCTGTAATAACGTGTGTAATTATAGGCAGAAAGGCAAGAAAATATAACAGGAATGAAATTGATTAGGGGGGGATTAAAAACAAATGAGGAAATTAAACTCCTTATTTGATATGTGCAGATGTATAAAACATCTCCAGCACCAATTTATTTAGCATTCTACACCTTATTGTTCCTAAGCTTTGTTTTCTTAAAATGATTACACAGTACGCTTAAAAATCACAATTCAGAAAACCTTACATTCTTTTTATTTTAATTATGACTCAATCAAGATTAAAATTAACATTTTGTTGTTGTTTTTCAGGAGATAATCAATCAACTAAAGCTTATCATTGTCCTCTTCCATTTCACTGTGAGCCAGATTGTGGCCCAGCCTATGTACCCAGTCCATAAGAGGAAGCAGACCCCTCCCCTGTAATGGGCGTGGGTAATTATACTACAGATGTAACAAAACTGATGCTTTCCCTGCACATACATACACATTGCTATGCGACTTCAACCAATGTTGGAGTAGATGCTACAGACCTCCTAATCCCCCTTGAAACCACTTATAAACTTGAAGTGATAGCTTGTAATTTTAACAGTTTTCAATACTTTGCACCACTCAGTCAAGTGGGTAGGAAGTAGGTAGGGCATTGGCTCAGCCTCCCAATAAGCCTGTCAGTGCAGCTGAGCCAGCCCGGGAAGAGGTAACCTACTACCAGTAGGGGCCAGTGCAGATCATGACTCCACTGGAATAAGCAAGGAACATGGAAGATATCATGCCAGTCTGAGGCCACTTACTGGGGATTGATGCTGCTGCGATTGATGCAGTGAGGGTCAATTTAGCAGGTCTAGCGAAGACCCACTAAATCGACCTCAGAGTGCTCTCTGGTCAATTCCAATACTCCACCAGAAGAAGAGTAAGGTAAGTCAACAGGAGAGCATCTCCCGTCAACACAGCACGGTGCAGACACTGCAGTAAGTTGACCTAAGCTACATCGACTCCAACTATGTTATTCACGTAACTGGAGTAGCATAACATAGGTCGATTTTCCCCTGTAGTGTAGACAAGGCCTTAGGCTCAATTCCTTCTCTGTGCAGCATCTGTGCTGCAGATTGTCCTGTACACATACACACAGGTCAGAATAGATGATCGAAGTGGTTCCTACTGGTCTTAAATCTGTGATTCTATTACTCTAGTCCTGTATTTGGGCTCCAACCCACCATATACACAGATTTTCCATTCAAAACACTTTAACTACAAATACGCACAAGTGGCTGACAAAGTACCGCAGAGTGAAAGGTAGTTCAGATTAGTTTATTACTAACTCAATATTATTGTTTGCCATATAGCAAACATCTTAATGTGAAAATTAAATGCAGAGTCCAAACTATTTTGAAACCAGTATTTTCATTTAGCATTAACACACTGTAGTTAAGCTAATATCAAGTCCAACTAGCATTTTCACATTACAGGGATTAAAGACCTTTCCTCTTACTATATTGTTTAAGAATTGTATTGGATCATGATGAGAAATGGCTTTTTGCAACATATGCTGAGAATAAAGCATCCAGATACAAATTATTTTAGGGAAGGAGCATACTTAATTGGAATGAAAGAAAGAGGAGAATATTATGCACCAAAATGAAATCCTCAGATATTTCCTAAATATAGGCAGAAAAATATTATATAGGGGGAAATTAGTTTAAATTATTGTACTTACAATGGGCTAGATTGTGCTCTTCAGTACAGTCCTGTATCGGAGGTATTACATAAACCACACAACCTCCCAGGGGGAGCCCTGAGAAGCAATGTGACTCACACAACCCTATGTCTACAATACAGATGTTACACCCATTGTTCTCCCCTCAATTGATTGAAAAATACCTTGCATCCACACACAAAAGGGCTTCCACCAACAATGGATTGTTGGAGAAGCAACAATCACAAGTCACAAGACTGAAATGCCTGCAAGCTGCATGGAAACTTTTAAAAAACACCATAATAGAGGCTCAAATTAAATGTATATCCCAAATTAAAGAGACTAATAAGAGGACTAAGAAATTGGCACCATGCCTAAACAACAGAGTAAAAGAAGTGGTTAGAGGCAAAAAGACATCCTTAAAAAAAAAAAAAAAAAAAGCATGAACTCTGGCAAGTCAAGTGTAGGAGTACAATTAGGCAGGCCAAAAAAAAAAAAAAATTTGAAGAGCAAATACCAAAAGACTCAAAAACTAACAGAAAAAATATTTTAAGTATATCAGAAGAAGGAAGCCTGCCAAACAATCACTGTGGCTCCTGGATGATTGAGGTGCTAAAGGAGCACTCAAGGAAGACAAGGCCGTTTCAGAGAAGCTAAGGGCTTGTCTATACTGGCACTTCACAGCGATGCAACTTTCTTGCTCAGGGGTGTGAACCCCCCCCCCCGCCCCAAGTGCTGCAAGTTTCAGCGCTGTAAAGTGCCAGCATAGACAGTGCACCAGGGCTGGTAGCTACGCCCCTTGTGGAGGTGGCTTTTGTAGAGCAGTGGGAGAGCTCCCTCATCAAAAGCTCTTAAGCAAAATAAGCAATCATGAGATAAGAGAGAAGGTCCTTTCTTGGATCAGTAACTGGTTAAAAGTCAGGAAACAAAGGGTAGGAATAAATGGTCAGTTTTCGTAGTGGGGAGAGGTAAGTAGAGGTGTCCCCAGAGATTTGTACTGGGACCAGTGCTGCTCAACATATTCATAAATGATCTGGAAAAAGAGGTAAATAGTGAGATGGCAAATGAGGATACAAAATTACACAAGATAGTTAGGGCCAAAGCAGACTGCGAAGAGTTTCAAGGGGATCTCACAAGACTAGGTCACTGGGCAACAAAATGACAGCTGAAATTCAATGTTCATAAATGCAAAGTAGTGCATATTGGAAAACATAATTCCAACTGTACATGCAAAATGATGGGGTCTAAATTAGCTGTTACCACTCAAGAAAGAGGTCTTGGAGTCACTGTGGACAGTTCTCTGAAAACATCCACTCAATGCACAACAGTAGTCAAAAAAGTGAACAGAATGTTAGGAATCATCAGGAAAGGAATAGATAATAAGACAGAAATATATCATATTGCCTTTATATAAATCCATGGTACACCCATACCTTTACTACTATGTGCAGTTCTGGTTGTCCCATCTCAAAAAATATATATTAGAAATGGAAAAAGTACAGAGAAGGACAACAAACATGATTAAGGGTTTGGAACAACATCCATATGAGGAGAAATTAAAAAGACTGGGACTATTCAGCTTGGAAAAGAGGCAACTAAGGGGGGAGATATATGATAGAGGTCTATAAAATCATGGTGTGGAGAAAGTGAATAAGGAAGTGTTATTTACCCCTTCACAACACAAGAACTAGGGTTGCCCAATGAAATTAATAGGCAGCAGGTTTAACACAAACATTAGGAAGTACTTCTTCACACAATGCACAGTCAACCTGTAGAACTCATGCCACCCTTAGCCATGCAATACAACCAAGTAAATCAAATCAATTCAGGGCTCTAATGCCTAATGCTCTAAGACCCCCCCAAACAAAAAAAAACAGGGGAAAAACACTTGCACATTTACAATAGTTAGGGCAGGGGTTTCACCTGGTTCTGAAGCACTAATTATAAGTCAATAGCAAAGTACATGGTTCTGTACAATACATCCCTACAAAATTAGCATCTGGATTAGTTTAGCACCAACAAAGTGAAGTTTCATTTATATAGGATTGCTATTGTATGAAGAAAACACAAAATTAATTGCCAAATGTTAATCATAGAACTAGGAACTGAAGGGAATTGCTACACAAACCACTGAGGTCCTACATAAGTAACATACATTTACATCAAATTTTTGCAATCTACCACTTCTACTCTTACACATGATTACCCAGCCACATTTATTAGCATTCGGTAATATTCTTTGACTAGATCATTAGAGAAAGGAAGAAACTTGAAGGACTGAGCTGTCTAGTTTTCAGGATTAGCTTCTAGTAATTCCTATGATAAACAGGATTATTCAGTTAATAACACCATTCACAGCACCAAGAAGGTATCCAGGACTGAACTCTGGGCCAAAAATCATAATCAGGCTTTCCGCATTAACCAATAAGGTCCAGGAGCCTTGCACCTATGATGGAGTGATTTTAGCAGTGTCATTTCTGAGACAGAGGCAAGTAGATGGGGCAGCAGTAGTAGCAAGAGGAGCTAGGCAAACAGAGGAATCGTGATCAGCTAGAATATGGCTATGCCAGCCAACCTCGGGGTGGAACTACCTCTGGATGCTAACCACACCCAGTGAATGAG